GTCGCCCAAGCCGCCCAGCCCGGCGCCCTCGCCTGCCCCACCCAGCCCCGCACCGCCTAGCCCCGCACCTCCGTCGCCCAAGCCGCCCAGCCCGGCGCCGTCGCCTGCCCCACCCAGCCCCGCACCGCCTAGCCCCGCACCTCCGTCGCCCAAGCCGCCCAGCCCGGCGCCCTCGCCTGCCCCACCCAGCCCCGCACCGCCTAGCCCCGCACCTCCGTCGCCCAAGCCGCCCAGCCCGGCGCCGTCGCCTGCCCCACCCAGCCCCGCACCGCCTAGCCCCGCACCTCCGTCGCCCAAGCCGCCCAGCCCGGCGCCCTCGCCTGCCCCACCCAGCCCCGCACCGCCTAGCCCCGCACCTCCGTCGCCCAAGCCGCCCAAGCGCCAGCCTCCATCGCCACAGCCGCCGTGCGACCCCCCCAAGCGCCAGCCTCCCTCACCCGAACCGCCGTCCCCCCAACCACCCAAGCGCCAGCCTCCCTCACCTCAACCGCCGTCGCCTCAACCGCCGTCCCCCCAACCACCCAAGCGCCAGCCTCCTTCACCTCAACCGCCGTCGCCTCAGCCTCCTTCACCTCAACCGCTATCGCCTCAACCGCCGTCGCCCCAACCACCCAAGCGCCAGCCTCCTTCACCTCAACCGCCGTCGCCTCAACCGCCGTCCCCCCAACCACCCAAGCGCCAGCCTCCTTCACCTCAACCGCCGTCACCTCAGCCGCCGTCGCCCCAACCACCCAAGCGCCAGCCTCCTTCACCTAACCCGCCGTCGCCTCAGCCGCCTTCACCTAACCCGCCGTCGCCTCAGCCGCCGTCGCCCCAACCACCCAAGCGCCAGCCTCCTTCACCTCAACCGCCGTCGCCTCAACCGCCGTCACCCCAACCACCCAAGCGCCAGCCTCCCTCACCTCAACCGCCGTCGCCTCAACCGCCGTCGCCCCAACCACCCAAGCGCCAGCCTCCTTCACCTCAACCGCCGTCGCCTCAACCGCCGTCCCCCCAACCACCCAAGCGCCAGCCTCCTTCACCTCAACCGCCGTCACCTCAGCCGCCTTCACCTCAACCGCCGTCGCCTCAACCGCCGTCCCCCCAACCACCCAAGCGCCATCCTCCTTCACCTCAACCGCCGTCGCCTCAGCCTCCTTCACCTCAACCGCCGTCGCCTCAACCGCCGTCGCCCCAACCACCCAAGCGCCAGCCTCCTTCACCTCAACCGCCGTCGCCTCAACCGCCGTCCCCCCAACCACCCAAGCGCCAGCCTCCTTCACCTCAACCGCCGTCACCTCAGCCGCCGTCGCCCCAACCACCCAAGAGCCAGCCTCCTTCACCTAACCCGCCGTCGCCTCAGCCGCCTTCACCTCAACCGCCGTCGCCTCAACCGCCGTCGCCCCAACCACCCAAGCGCCAGCCTCCTTCACCTAACCCGCCGTCGCCTCAACCGCCGTCCCCCCAACCACCCAAGCGCCAGCCTCCTTCACCTCAACCGCCGTCGCCTCAACCGCCGTCCCCCCAACCACCCAAGCGCCAGCCTCCTTCACCTCAACCGCCGTCGCCTCAACCGCCGTCCCCCCAACCACCCAAGCGCCAGCCTCCTTCACCTAACCCGCCGTCACCTCAGCCGCCTTCACCTCAACCGCCGTCGCCTCAGCCGCCGTCGCCCCAACCACCCAAGCGCCAGCCTCCTTCACCTCAACCGCCGTCGCCTCAACCGCCGTCCCCCCAACCACCCAAGCGCCAGCCTCCTTCACCTCAACCGCCGTCGCCTCAACCGCCGTCCCCCCAACCACCCAAGCGCCAGCCTCCCTCACCTCAACCGCCGTCGCCTCAACCGCCGTCCCCCCAACCACCCAAGCGCCAGCCTCCTTCACCTCAACCGCCGTCGCCTCAACCGCCGTCCCCCCAACCACCCAAGCGCCAGCCTCCTTCACCTAACCCGCCGTCACCTCAGCCGCCTTCACCCCAGCCGCCCAAGAGCCAGCCCCCCTCGCCTAAGCCGCCGTCACCCCAGCCGCCCAAGGGTCACCCTCCCTTGCCTAGACCGCCGTCGCCCCAGCCGCCCAAGGGTCACCCTCCCTTGCCTAAGCCGCCGTCACACCAGCCGCCCAAGGGCCAGCCTCCCTTGCCAAAACTGCCGTCACACCAGCCGCCCAAGGGCCAGCCTCCCTCGCCTAAACCGCCGTCACACCAGCCGCCCAAGGGCCAGCCTCCTGCGCCTTTTTCCAAGAGCCAGCCGCCAGCGTATAAGAAGAAGCCGCCCCCAAGGCCATCACCCAAGGCGGCACCTCCACCCTTGCTGCTTCACAAACGTTCTCTGCTGGGAAGCCAGCCCACTAACATGTCCTAATAAAGCCATCCCATCCAAGTGCCATGAGCACTATAGACTATGAAATGCTTCAGAGAGCACATTAGGTGCTAAATGTGTTTTGCTCGTGTATACGCATTAATAACATATGGAGTTGATAGCCACACGTACGGTACATCTGATACGTTTTGTCTGCACGCTATGGTCCGTACATACCAACAAAGCCGATTAGGTACTTCATCACGTAATATGTAGTGCGTACAAGACGTACAAGGGGATGATCGTAATACCTGGACGCGATAGCGCCCCATCCTTGAATGCATTCGGTGTGTTCTGTAGGGAAAGAATGGTTGACAGTTGCAGTGGTAGGGGATGTGGTCTATGCGGATGAGTGAGGACTGTACATTTTAAACTGCAGGGTGTATCCTAGCCGTGCCGTGTGGGCCGCAAGTCACCAACATTATGATTCGCTTTACGTTGTACCAACCAGGTCGTTATTGTATATGCATGAGTAGTATAGTATATATGTCTGTGTTTGCTAGCCGTGAATACAAGGTAGTGGAGTGTTGGGCACATGTCTTTAATGCCTGCACAGACCCGGATCTGTCATTGTAACAAACCTGCCCATACACGCGTGCTGCGCCCTTACTGATGGCAACATGCCGGTCGAATACCGGTAATTCCGCACCCCACAGGATCCGCCACTGCATACATGCTTCCCACCATGGACTAAGTGACTTCCTTCTCCTGTTTTCTTCATCTTGCTTTGCGCCGGAGTTCCCGGCAGTTGGTTTGTAGCATAATAGGAACATCTGTTAAGCTGCGCCATCCCCAGCATTGAGTAAACGACGAAAACCTCCGTTGAACCTGTTGCCTTACGTTCAAATGCACAGAAAAGGAGGTTATATCAAGGTCACCATGAAACTGGGAGCATTACCTGTAAAGACCTGTATATCATTCTCACTCAGGCGCACGATTTTATTAATTTCGTTTTTTTAAATTGCTACCGGTACGTTCATTTGTCAAGGGCAACTGCAGAGATTTTCCACCCCAGCCCATCAAAATAACAATTGCAACGGTGAGACTATTGAATCAAGTGTCCATGTTCTTACGCATCCCTAAGAATAACTATCCACAAAACGTTGGCAGCAGGAAGAAGTGCCGACGACCCTAAATGGTACCAGGATCCAAAGTCGGACGAGCTCGTAGCGAGGACGTTATCAACACAAAGTAGCGCATCTTGTCAAGATTTAAACACCACTAGACAGGGGATATGACAGTTAAATAGAAAAACGTTGAGCGCCTGTTAATTGTTATGCTTTGCTCAGCAGCCCTACGGGCTGCTCCTTGACGCATTCCTAACAACTGTAGGTAGTTCAGTAGAGAACGAGGAACACTACGAAGATAAGCCGTCGGCCAGGATACCCATCTCTGCGGCCTAGCCTGAGAATCGCTCGTCATGGCCAGCGTGGTTGTCTACTAGGTTACTGTTGCTTCGTACCGGGAGGGCAAAATATGGAACATTGCCAGCTATCGTGTCATCTTTAACTTCGGCAAAGGAACATCAATGGAGCGGTCAGCGATGGATATCCACCGGGCGTAGGGGAGGCTAAGGCACGTGGTGATGCACGGGCAGGCGTCTGCGTCTATGGCTGTCTCCGCAAGGAAACAGAGGAGATGCAGGCGGTAGTCAACGCGTTCCTACACACGCCCAACCCGTCATCCCAACCCGTGTAGCCATCCATCCCGCCTCGTGAACCCCCCTACCTTCACACCCCGCACCTTCCTACGCTCCCCCCTTGTGTTGCCATCACCCACACGCTCTATGTCCAAACGATCACAGCCAAACCGAGCACAGCCCAATCCCCCCCTAACCTGTGGTTTTGGTATATCTTGTGTTTCCTTACCCCACCCCATCGGTTTGTTGAGTCCCCTTGACCCCTTCCTTCGCACCCCATTTCTTATCACGTCCCCCACGTGCAATGCCGTCACTTCAACGCTGCCCTACGCTCCCAACCGCTGTATGCTGTACCCTCTCCTTCCCTCCGCATGCCGCCCCAACGTCACCTCATCCCACGTAGTTCTCCATGACTCCATCCCTTCCCCAACCCCTCCCGCCGCAGCCCAATCATGGCTGCTGTATGTATTGCCGCCAACAGACGCCCCCCCGGTACTCCATGCGTCGCCCCTCCCGCACTGAGGAGGGGCGACGTATGGGGCAACGGGGGAAAGGTGCAGGGTACGGAGGCAGGGGGCTAAGGGACGCGATAAAGGGCCATGCGGGTTGAGACGGCTGTAAGGACATGTGGCCAGGGAGTAGCGTAAAAGGATACCACTACCAGAAGCAAAGCTTAAGTTTCGAGGCATCCAACTGGCGCATCCTCAGGATTTGCGCTGCACTGGGTATCCTGGTCACGAAGATATTCAAGAACCTTTCCTTGTTGTGTACTTAATCAATTATTAAGCATTGGATTTCGATAGGATGTAGCCCGTAGGGCTCCTTAGCTGACCGTCGCAATAGACAGCTTCCCAACGCTTTTTGGCAAGTTGAACGTATTTCCTGTTCAGAAATGTTGATTATAGCCAAGATGCTTAAGCCGGGGTTGATAACGTCCTCGCTACGAGCTCGTCCGACTTTGGATCCTGGTACCATTTAGGGTCATCGAAGAAGTGCAAGCCGTACTAACGACTCCGGTTGTCAATTGCGCCTGGGAGAAGCTTACGTTTCGCATAGCGCACAAGCAATGTGCACAAGCAATGTGCATGGCGTTTTTTGGGCCTCAGCACTATGCCTAACCCAATCGCTGACTCGCAGCAGCTTCTCCCCACCAGATTACTTAATGCACTTCGCGGGTACAGTCCTTTAAACCTAGATAATCAGCCGAGACAGGTGCAAACCCACAACGGAGTCGACCATGATCTAGAGACGTCCGCATCGCACCAACCCCGACGCCATCCTGGGGCCCCTTCGCCAGCTGCCAGTAGCCTCCGTGCACCTAGTAAAGGCATGGGTCCTCAACCGGAGCTAGCGCACCAGCATGGCGACCGTTACCGCCATGTTCCCTGGTTCGCCTACCCCCTGCTCGTTGCTGCGGTGGGTGGGTTGTGCCTGCCTGTGTGAGCTGTAAACGGACGACCTATCCCTTCGCCTTAGACCACGGGATTCAGAAGTGGTACCAACTGGGGAAGGGGTTCACATGGGGCCTGCCCGAAGCGAAACAGACAGCCAAGCATCTGCCAGTGAACCTTCTTCACTGCCTATCAACCAGCGACACGGAAGCGGCGCGGTGCACTGTAGTCCCTGTCAAACCAAGGGCTGGATACCGTCACCGCAAGCCCTACATGCTCTCCATTTGGCTAGTGAGCCAAACCCTTGTTGCTTCCGTGCTTCCATGTAAACCGCCCGTACAGGTGGTTGCTGTGTCCTCCGCCGCAACCGTTTTCAGGTGAGTGTCGCTCTCAATGTTGTGGTGATGCGGCTATGCACCCGTCCTGCCATCCAAAAGCCTCTCCAGGAAAGGCGTCAGTAGACCTTACACATTGGCAATACCCATGCGCTGGACGGCTTTTGCAACTGCACCCCGCACTAGGCTACGCGCATCACAACCTTTCCAACCGCCTGCAACATCACCATGCAAACTTGGCCCAAACAGCGATCGCTTCCGTTCCTGTTTCCTCCCATTCTCCCCCTGTCAGCCTCATGCCGGAGGTTCCCGCTTTGACGCTGGCCGCATGGCGGTTACAACTGACAGCGGTGCTGCTGGGGCTGGCGGCGGCGCAGCAGTGGCGCGACATGGTGAGAGACCCACGGGTCGGTTCAGCGGCTGCACGGCTGCGCAGGGGTGGTAAGGCCGCGTTGGTGCTTCAAGCCACATGCCTCATTCCTGTTCCAATCCCAACCCCAACCCTAATCAGTCCGCCGAAGACCGCTCTCGCACGCTCCACTCTTCCGGCTGGTTGGCTGCCAGCGGGGCTTGCCTTGCCGTACACTTTGGATCCTGGGTTTGGGGCCTGCAGCACACGTCACTGCCGCACTCGTTGCTGCTGGTGTCTGCCACGCCGCTGCTGCTGGCGGCGGTGGCGCTGGCGGCGGGAGAGCGGCTGTCGAGAGGAGAGCTGGGCGGCGCTGGGCTGGGGCTGGTGGGTAAGTGTGGATGCACTGTGCCTGAATCCGTGCAACACGGTCATGCCGGCAGTCGCTACTGGAGCCGCTACTGGGCGCTAATCGATAACATCAGTTACATAGCATGGAGGGGTGTGCGGGCTAGGACGGGCTGTTCGGGCGGAAGGGGGATAGGAACGGCCCTTGACGGGTTGCCGTCGCCAGGCTGCTGCCTAGGTAATGGAACGGAATTCCATTGCGTGCTTCCCCACCGCACAACCTGGTCGCCGCTGTCGCCGCCGTACTAACCGCCTCAGCCTCCGCCTGCTTCCCTGCCCGCAGGTGCCGTGGTGCTGTCGGCGGGTGCGGCGGGCGGCCGGGAGGAGCGGGCGGGGGTGGCAGGGGATCTGGCCTCGCTCCTGGCGGCAGCGGTCATGGTGAGGAGGGTATTGTGGGTACGGTAGGGGCTTGTTGGCATTGTGAGGAGGGGTAGTGGATATGGTCTTTCCCCTCGGATGCGCGGCCTCCCTCACCCCAACGCGTCACGCAACACCGAACACCCGTATGGTGCTGTCCGCCTCCGTCTCCGCCTCCTGCACCCAGGTGGGTTACTTGACGGTGGGTCGGCGGCTGCGGCAGTGGATGCCCATCTTCGTGTACGCCTTCCCGGTCACGGGTGTGGCGGCGCTGGGCCTTACGCTAGGTGTGCTGGGCAGCGCTGGGAGAGGCGCAGGAGGCGCCAGCGCGGAAGGGAAATGCACGGGCGCAGCGGCGTTGCTTATATCTGTCCCTGTGCAGACGGGTTGGGGTACAGGGAGAGGGGTAAAGAGGAAACAGCTACCTAACTAACTGACAAACTAACTAAGGAGAGGGGTGGGGGCGCGAGTTTAGGCGGAGTTTAGGCCAGCAAACCGATGCGCTGGGTTTGTGCTTTCCTCCTTGCCTTCCTCACCTGCAGGTGGCCTTGCGCTGGAGCCTGTCTCCCTTGGTGGCGCTGGCAGGTGGGGTTGGGGTTGAAGGCAGGGGTGCAGGCACGGGCGGGGTAAACAGGAAACAACTAACACACCACTGGGTGGGGGAGGGCGCGTGTGCAGGCATGGGTGGGGGAGGGGGCGCATGTGTGCGTGTACCGGTACCACCACGCCACCCGCACCGCAGCTTGAATAGGCCGACCCTGGTTGTATGCCCTTCCCCACCTTCCCTTTTCCCACCTTCTTCCCTTTCCCTCCTCGCAAACGGCCCCTACCGTGCGCCCCCTCCTGCACCCGGTCCCCTCCTGCTACAGCCGCGGCGTGTTTGGTTGGCTGACATCCGCGCGCTTCGGACCTTGGGTACTGTACTTGGCGCTTGGGCCGGGAGTTGTCGGGCACACAGGTGGGTCAGCAGGAAAATCATGACTTCATGACAGTCTTGAGGGTGGGGATGTACGGCTGCTCTGGCCGCGGTGCCGCTAAAGGGTTGCGTGGAGCTTTTGTCCCACAGCAAGCTTTAAAGCTGTTTGCAATGCAGCGATGTGTTAGGATGCTTTTTATGAGATGCCTGATGCCTTCACCAGCGCCGCTGCCGCTGCTGCTCCTTTCAGGTTTCAACACGCTGCTTCGCTATATGTCTCCATTGGCGGTATCGCTGGCATTTCAATTAGAGCCGCTTGTTGGGAGCGGCATTGGATGGGCGGCAGGTATCCTGCAGGCGCCAGGGCCGCTCACATACTGCGGCGGTGCGCTGGTAATGGCTGCGACGGTATGGGTGACAATGGCGAGCACGGCCAGGGAACGGTCAACCGCAGATGCGACGGCATCCGAGGCAATGGCACGGGCAGAGGAACGCCAGTTAATGTTAGAGGGGAGGGAGGGTGGTGAAGTATCGGAAATGGTGTCGGCGGGAGGATGGCCGCGCGACGGAAACAATGTTAGTTGAGGAAGGTGCAGGCCGATGGCAGGAAGCGAGGACAGACGATAACCAGCACTTGATGACACTTAGAGGTAGCAAATGATCGCACTCCCGGACTGGTAGGAATGCTGGTTCTGTCATGTACGGCATAGGGTGCGGTAATACCAGTTGGAACCAGGTGTCATGGGCGCCCACGTGAATGCTAATCAAGTTACTCTGGGGTTGACGTTAAGTTGTTAACTTCATTGCAAACCAGTTGTATACATCCAAAACCTTTCCCGGGCAGATACCTCGCACTCGCAACGTTGCGCAACCAGCTGAGAAGCGCCGGCAGACGCGACAGCGCGATGTCGCGCACCTTCACTTTAGGAATCGACAGGAAATGTTTAGGAAATTCAGTTGCATCATCACGTTGTGCGCGGGGCAAGCTGCGCCATGCTCGACTCGCGCCGTTGCTGGCTAACGCGCCAGCTGTGGCAGAGCGCCGAACAGAACCGCTCTCCAAGCAGGAGCTGGTTGACTTCTTGAAGTCAGGTTGTAAACCACGTACTGAATGGAGGTACGCAAAATGACCTCACTCATGGGACGTGGCAAGTTCCAACATCCAACATCAATGGTGATCTATACGTTTGATTAATCTACCATCTGAAGTGGGTGACGAATTATTTCTTGGGGGCGCAGCAGATAACGGCTTCATGGCCTGCCTGGCGCAGGATTGGCACGGAGCACGAAAAGCTGGGGTTTAACCTGAAGGACAATAAACGTATGTCCTACGACCAAATAGCTCAAGTCCTGCGGAAGCTGGAGTCAAGGTTTGGATGGATACCCATCATGGAGGAGGGTCGTATCATCGGCGTCCACTTAGACGGCCAGAGCGTGACTCTGGAGCCCGGCGGCCAATTTGAGCTGAGCGGCGCCCCCGTTGATACCATCCATAAGACGTGTGCGGAGGTGAACAGCCACCTGTACCAGGTACGCTTTGCCATGGAATGAATACACTGCTATCCTACTGCGCCTGTGGGATGTGGCCTGCGGCACAGTACACAAGCTGACGTAAACGTGTTCCGGCGGTGGGCCTCGCCCAGCCATCTGCTTGCAGTTGTTCACCTCCCGGTTCCCTGCCTCGCACGGTCGCACCCCCACCGCCTGCAGGTGAAGGCCATATGTGAGGAGCTCCAATGTGGCTTCCTGGGGGTGGGCTTTGACCCCAAGTGGACCATTCCGGAGATCCCCGTCATGCCCAAGGTAACCGCTCATGACACCCCACTGCAGCAACCCCTAGAACAGCCCTCTCCTTGTCTCCTGCATGCCTGCCCTCCCTGATTCTTTTTGTGTTGTCCTTCCTTTCCCCTTCCCCGTACCTTGCTTTCCTCCCGTGCATTATGCACTTTCACCTCTCCTTATTACCTCCTCAAAACCTCCGTCGTTTGTGTCCCCCTCCCGCAGGGCCGCTACGCGCTCATGAAGTCGTACATGCCCAAAGTTGGATCCATGGGTCTGGACATGATGTTCCGTACATGCACCGTACAGGTGGGAAGTGGAGGGTCAAGGCGGAGAGGGGAGTGGAGGGGTGAGGAAAGAGGCGGGGTGGGGTGGGGTGGCTGTTGAAGGAGTCATGGCAGGTGCAGCAGGCAACCGGGGCTCCTCTTGTTTCGAGCCATGGAGGAGAAACCAGACTCCTGTACAGTCCTTTTGGCGCTCCGCCTCGTACCCATGCGCCAGTTCCTGTTCCCGGCCTAACCCACGCTGCTGCCTTCTCCTGGGTTCTGGGTCACCCACCGTGTGGGTCACCCACAGGTCAACCTGGACTTTGAGAGCGAGCGGGACATGATTGACAAGTTCCGAGTTGGCCTGGCGCTGCAGCCGCTGGCGAACGCGCTGTTCGCCAACTCGCCCTTCAAGGAGGGCAAGCCCACAGGGTGAGGGAAACCCATATGGCAACGAAAGCCCACAGGGTGGGGTGGGATGGTTTTTTTCCCACTTATACTTGCTCTCTCTGCGTTTGTTTGGGGTTTGTGATCAGGACTCGACATGCGGCACTTGACCTTCACAGTGATTGCTGACGCAGCCGTCTGCTACTGTCCCTTTTTGTCGTGTGACACCGTATGTCCCACCCTGCAGTTTCCTGAGCACCCGGGGTCACGTGTGGACGGATGTGGACGCCTCGCGCACCGGCGGCCTGCCCTTCGTGTTCGATGGCGACATGTGCTTTGATCGGTGAGGAGGGGGTGAGAGGTGATCGGTGAGAGGGTTGCTGCACTCGGCGCCGTAAACCCGATGAGGAGGCATCCCACACCACCCGGCGGCATGCCTCCCTACCTAGCACCCGCCCCCACCACCCGTCGACACGGTCCGAACGGCCCCCCTCCCCCCCCCTCCTTCCTGTAACCACACAGGTATGTGGAGTATGCGATGGACGTGCCCATGTACTTTGTGTACCGCAACGGGCAGTACGTCAACGCGCTGGGGCTCAGCTGGCGGGACTTCATGGCGGGGAAGCTGCCGGTGCTGCCGGGTAGGGGCAGGGGGGGGGCGGGGGGTGAAGGATGCGGTGGGGTTCAGCTGCCGGTGCGCCGCCTGGTAGGGGCGTAAGCACTTGGGGTGGCTGGAGTTGGGGCGCAGAAGAATGGTTAGGAACAGAAAGGTATCAATGTTGATGTAAGAGCGGTCTAAGAGCGACAACCCTTGGGGATGGAAGGAGGGGGGGACCGGTCCGGGTCCCGGCTTATCCGCTGCCTGGTTCCGCGCCCCGCCTCGCGGCCCCTCTGCAGGCGAGTACCCCACCCTAGCTGACTGGGCCAACCACCTCACCACCATCTTCCCGGAGGTGAGTTCCTTACCTGCCTTGGGGGATAGGGGGTAGCGGGGCATTTGGGGGCGTCTCGTACGCCTACAGGGCTGGATTAATGCGATCCGGTGCCCGAGAGGAAGGGGGGGGGTGAAAACAGGGCCCTCCAGAAGAGTCCCTATCTACCCCCCAACATCCTCCTATGCCTGCCTGCCTGTCAACCTGCCTGCCTGCCTGCCTGCCTGTCAACCTGCCTGCCTGCCTGCCTGCCTGCCAACCTGCCTGCCTGCCTGCCTGAAACCCCCCCCCCCCTCCCAACCTGTGCTGTGCGCCCCCCCTTGCATGGCGGCTCAGGTGCGGCTGAAGAAGTACCTGGAGATGCGCGGCGCGGACGGCGGCCCCTGGCGCATGCTGTGCGCGCTGCCCGCCCTCTGGGTGGGGCTGCTGTACGACACGGAGGCGCAGCAGCAGGTGCGTGTGGCGTGCTGGAGAACAACCGGGCCGCACTTGCAACACTCCGTGTGTTCGTGTGCTCGCAGTGTTTGTATGGCGTGCGGTATGGCCCATGCAGATAGCCCATGCAGGTATATACGGCAGGTATATACGGCCTAACCATCCCTTCCTCTCGCTGTTTCCGAGGTACCCCATCCCTCCTTCCCTCCCCCCCCTGCCTTTCCCCTTGCTGCCCTCGCAGGCTCTTTCGCTGGTGTCCGACTGGACGGCTGCGGAGCGGGAGTACCTGCGGGTGGAGGTGCCGAGGTTGGGGCTGCGCACGCCCTTCCGAGGGGGCACCGTGCAGGATGTGGCCAAGCAGGTGGGGTGGTGGTGGTGGTGGTGGTGGGGTGGAGTCCGTGGGGTGCCGCTGCGGGGTGGGGGAGCTGTGGGGTGCCGCAGCGGGGCCGATCTACTCTGCTCTGCACGGAGAGAGGTGTAGCGAGGGCGGCTGGGGGAGGGATGTGGAAGGCGTGTTGCGAGGGTGTGGTGTGGTGGTGGTGAACTGGGCTGCGTGGCTGTGGTGCATGCTGCCTTCTCGCCGCACTCCTCATCCGCATGTCGTGTTGCCTGCTCTCCCTCCCCCCCCCCAATCCAGGTTGTGTCGCTGGCCCGGGGCGGTCTGGAGCGGCGGGGGCACGACGAGGCGTCCTTCCTCAACCGGCTGGAGGTCATTGCGGAGACGGGGCTCACGCAGGTGGGTGGGGGCTGTTGCAGGGCAGGGAGGCCCCACGCTACCAGCTCACCACCCGCGTGCTCGCCGGGGAAGTCTCACTGGACAACCCGCTTGCCTTCCATGCCCGGTATCTGCCCTCTGGCTGTCCTCCGCATGCGCTGCTCCCTGCCTGCCCTCTGCATTGCTCCCTGCCCACCCTCCGCCTACCCTCTTCCCACTCTGCCTGCCCTCCGCCTACCCTCTTCCCACTCTGCCTGCCCCTCCGCCTGCCCCCTCCGCCTGCCCCCTCCTGCCGGCCCCAGGCCGACCACCTGCTGGAGCTGTACGAGACCCGCTGGCAGCGCTCCGTGGACCCCCTCTACGGGGAGTTCATGTACTGAGCTACTGAGGCGAGGTGGCGGCGTCATGGGAGATGCGCACGCAGCGCGTTTGCTGCTGCGAAAGGGGGCTCCTTTTGCCTTCCGTACAGCCGCCCGCCGTACGGGGCCAAGCAGTGGCTGAGGTCACACGTTTTCCCTTGCTTGCGGAAGAACATGGACCTTCTGGTGTGGTGGAGTTGGGGCGGAGGGTGGCGACTCGTGCACTGCCCTCCTGGGGACAGTTGCGTGGGGACAGTAGCGAGGAAAGGAGCGCAGGTGTTTGGCGGCGCAGGTGTGAGCACGGAAGGAAGAGGCTGCCTACCTACCTACGGCCCAAGCATAGAGCTAGGGGCATGCTTTCGGGATTGCAAAGCTGGTGATACATAATGTGTATAACTTTGCTGAACTGTTTAGAGAGTTGTGTGAAGTACCTCTCTGCATGGTTCTTTGGAGCGCGAAATGCCAATGTGGGGTTCCGGAATCCCAGTCTGGCTGTTCCCACGTTCACGTCAGTTTAGGATCTGCGTTTTACCAGCTGAGGATGGCGCAGGGGGCCGGACGTTGGTCTCTTGAGCAGCGTTGGTTTTGAGTGCCCAAGACGAGCGTTGAGGGGCTTCCGAGATGGGGGGTTGGCGTTGCCAGGTGCTTTGTATCCTGAATGACCCTCAGCGCATGGCAGGTAAGACTAGGCAAGGTCCTTTCTGGCCCGTGCGGGTTTCCTCGCAATACAGCGCGCGGCACCCAAGACAAGCGAGCCCAGGGGGTAAGGTCGCAAGATGCGAATGACGTGGGAGGAGGGGGGCTCTATTGCAGGGGTACACAAACCGTGTGATAGTTGCTTGCAGCAAGGCATGCGTTCACCATCAATCCATGGTTTTGGGCTCCGATTGTAGCGTTTAGATCTAGTAGCTCTGGAGAGGGCTTGTCTGGGCGGCGGTCCGAATACTACTTGGATGGGTTGGGCCTGCCGGCTGAGAGTTACCGGTAACTGAGTTGGGTCGATCTGCCGTTGCTGCTTTGGTGTCCTTGGGCATTTCGCATCTAGGATTGAACAGCACTTGTTTGTTGCTGGGGATTGTGGTTGCCAGGAGTCGTCAAGCCACGTTCATGGTAGGTATGTCGAGCCCCTTGTGTGTGGCTGCATGGCTGGTCTAGGTAGGTACGAGCGCCGCCTGCATGGATAGGTAACGTACACACATATACCTGAGCACTTTATATTGCGATGGTGCTCTAAACGAATGTAGTGAGCTACTTTTGGGCACCGGTACATACTGGGTTCGACGGGTGTATGGCGGTGCATGATGCCCTGAGTGAATGATGCATCGGGATTAACCTTTGTTGTGTGTGGATATGCGGTCGGGCATGCCTTTTGGCTTTCGCCTGTTCGGACCCCCTGTAAAGCATGAAGGGTGTAACAGATGTGGCAAGCACTGCTGCTGTTGAACGACTTGCCGACAAACAAGAAGCGGCAAGTCATGGTTTGGTGGCCAGACCTGGAAGCCACAGCGTTTGGTGTTGCAGGCAAAAGCTGGTTTCGCCACTCCTTCCCATCACTCGTGCAAACTGTGTCTGAACACTAATAAGGCGCATAAGCCACGCCTCTTATGGCCAATCCGCTGCACTACCGACGTCACGCTGCCAACGACTGCCACACAGCACGACGACTGCCATACATGCAAAACACCTAATCCACCCAACCACGCGCCTCACAACCTCTGCCAGCCACATCCTGCTGCCACAACACACGGTACCTAGCCAACCTGCATTCCTTGTAAACCAATCCCTGCACAGCCTGCACAACCTCCCTAGCCGGGCACCTGACTACAGCCCCGGCCACTCAGTCCGGCCTCCAAACGGGTCCAAGTTACCGCCATCCTCGCCACCACCAGCACCAGCACTCCCCAAAGCCCCGCCCCGTCCTCGACCCTTGCCCGCCGCCCGCCCCCGCCCTGCTGCTGCGCTGCGCCCCCCTGCCGACGCACCGCTCCGTCCGCCTGAGCCGCTGCGGCCGCGGCCCCTACCTGCCACCACCGAACCGCCCGCTCCAAGGGCTGGCCCATGTGCCGGTCCCGCTTGGCCCCCCGCATCCACATCGCCCTCAGCGCCGAGACTGCCGGAGCGACCCAGATGGGCAGCTGCAGGCGCCGTCTCGCGCAGCCTTTTTCGGGCGCCGCCGCCGCCGCCGCGGGCAGCAGCTCCAGGCGCACTCATCCTTGCAGTTGGCACGGCGGCGGGATGCGCCCCATGCTCTTGCGGGTAGGACTGTGCCTGTGCTGGCTGCGGCTGCAGCTGCGGTTGCTGCTGAGGAGGTTGCTGCTGCTGCTGCTGCTGGAAGGGAGGGTGCATGCGCTGCTGTTGTTGTGTGTACTGGTTGTACTGCTGGTGCTGGTGATGCTGCTGTGGGTGTGGAGGGAAGCCTGCAGGCATGACGTGCTGCTGCTGAAGCGGCAGCGCTACCGGCGGCGTCGGTCTTGTGTGTGCCTGGCCGCCGTATTGTGTTGGGGGTGTGGCTTGATGCTGCACTTGCTGCTGCCCCCCCGTAGGAGGGTACTGCTGCTGCTGCTGCAGCGGAGGTTGCTGACCTTGCTGTTGCTGCGCCGGCAGACCATGGTGACCTGCCGCTGCCGCCGCCGCCGGTGGCGCGGGTGCCGTCTGCCTGCGCATCTGAAACATAGTTAGGGGCCTTCTGGGTTGCTGCTGCTGCTGTTGCTGTTGTTGTTGCGGTTGCTGCTGTTGTTGTTGCTGGGGACCACTGCCCGGCCTTAGGGGGGCAGCAGCAGCAGCGTGCAGCGGCGCCGTGCGCATCTGCTGTTCCTGCGTCATCCTGCTCTGCGGGACTGCTGCTCCTAGTGGAGGAACCGGTACGGCAGCGGCGTTGCCTTGAGGAGGTTGTACGACATGCGGCCAGCAGGCTTGCCATGGCGCCATGCCGCCGCTGTTGTTGGCGGGTGGTGCTGCAGCGCCCAAGGCATCAGCGCCCAAGGTGCCTGCGCACCGTACCGTGGCCGCACCGTACGGCACCGCGGTTGCACCGCCCGAGTCGCGGCCCACGTCGTACTGCACCTCATGGCTGGCTCCCGTCGGCTGCGCGGAGGGGCCACCGCCGGGGAACCCGGCTGGAGCCCCTGGCAGGTTGGCGGCATGCTGCTGCTGCAGCATAACCACAAAGCCCGGTGGGTGTGCGATAGCGCTGCTGGCTGCGCAATGCCACGCTGCCGCAGCCCCAGGTACGGGCCCCCCATGACCTTGCATCGCTGCAAGCGACTCGGCAGGTTGCGCCACCTCCGCCGCCTCCTGCGTCGGCGGAAGCGGTTCTGGAAGGGCCAGCAGCTGCTGTGCAACGCCTCCAGCAGCTCTTGGCGCGCCCATGGGCACGCTACTGCCAGCGGCCCCTGTTGCCCCTGACGCTGCAGCGGCTGCAGTACCTTTCCCAGTGGTGTCGGTGGCTGTGGCGGCGGCTGCTTTCTGGACACGTTGGATGCGCGTTAGCTCCTCTTGTACCACCACTGCGGGCGCATGTCAGCAAGGCAGCAGCAGTGAAGACAAGGGATACCGCTGCTCCGCTTCAAGCTATCAAGAGAAAATGCCGATGGAACACCAAACGCTACTACCGCCCGCTAACCCACATGCCACTCGCACGTCACAACTACAAGCGTGCGACACGCTTCACCTCATTAACGGTAAGCAGTAATAAGGCATGCGCGCATGCCCCCAATCAAGGCCACCGCATGCATGGTGCAAACTTTCTTCACTGCAGTACGTGAGTACGGTACCTGTGCTGCTGATTCGCGCAGCGCCCCCACCAGCTGCGGCACCCTGGAGCCCGCCGCCCGCGCCCTGGCTGCCATGGCCCCCACCGCCCATTCCGCCGCCGTGGGGGCCCCCAGCAGCGCCCGCGGACCCAACGGGCTGGTGCAGCTCCTTGACCCGGATGGTGTTGCGCAGAAGCGTGTTGGGAGAGGCCTGCAGCAGCGGAAGGAGCAGGAGCGATACCGGTATGAAGATGAGAGGTTGAAAGAGTAGAGGGTGAAGAGCAAGATATGGATACAGTAACGCACACGTAGGCGACCAACAGATCCCACCTGCAGCGTGCGCGTGATGACGGTTTCCTGGTACAGCACCGGCCGCCCGCCGCCGCGACTGCCGCCTCGTCCACCCTCAACCTCTTGCTGCTGCTGCTGCTGCTGCTGGAATTGCGGCTCCTGTTGGCCGCCCTGCCATGGCCCAGATGAAGGAGGTGCATGCGGCGGCGGGCCCTGCTGCCGCCAAGTCGCTGCCGCCGCAGCACCGCTGCCGCTGAAGCCACCCGCAGAGCCGCAACCCGACCCCGCGGGCGAGGGATGCCGTGGAGGACGGCCCATGTAACCCTGACCCATGGGGTCACCAGCGCCGCTACGGGAGCCCCCGCCACCGCTGCGGCGCATGCCTGCAGCTCCCGCTGCTGCCGCCGCCGCCGCAGCAGCAGCTGCTGCTGCTGCTGCCCGAGGGTGACCCCCATAGCCATGCATCCCGTCAGTCTCCTGCTCCTCCTCCTCAATCACTTCACCCACGTCGGCGTACCCCTGCCGCTCTCCAATGAATCCCTCCTGGTCCAGATCAAGCGCGTCCGGACCGTCCACATCCCCTCCGCCTCCGCCTCCGCCTCCGCCTCCGCCGCCTGCCGGGCCCCATGGGGTCCCCTGATGCGGGCCGCTGCTGGCGCCGAAGGAATCAGCCGCGTGAGGAGGCGCCCACGCGTTGACATGCTGCTGCTGGCGGCGGCGGTCGGCTCCGCCGGTACCCCAGCCACCAGCGTCAGTCGCATTTTGCAGCCTGTGTCCGCCGCCGCCGCCGCCGCCACCGTCTGGGCCGCCGAAAGCGTCTTCTCCGTCCAGGCCCTGTTGCCCATGTTGGTACGGGTATGCGGCGGCGGCGACGACCTCATCCTCCTCATCTTCCGGCTCCGTGACGGTGTACGGCAGAGGTTCTTGCAGGGCAGGCCTGCCGTTTCCTGCAATCTCGTGCGGTTGCCGCTGCTGCTGCCACTGCTGCTGCTGATAACTATGCTGATGATGCCAGTCTCCAGCTGCAGCAGCGTTGCCGCCGCCGCCGTCGCCAGCACCATGCCAGCTCCCAGAATCGCCTCCGTGTGGAAATGAGTAGTGGTGTTGCTGCTGCTGTTGCCCTTCAGCAGGAGTCTGACCGTGCCACCAGTTCCCTTGCGGGTGCTGGTAGCGCTGCTGCGGGTGCTGTTGATCTGACGGTGGTGGTGGCGGTGGTGCATGTGGCTGTTGCTGCTGTTTCTCGTAACCAACGCCGGCCCCGGACGGCTGGGGAGGCTGGGGCTGGGGCTGCTGCTGCCAATACTGCTGCTGCTGCTGCCAATGCTGTTGTTGCTGCCCGCCGAAGTGTTGTTGTTGTTGCTGCTGCTGCTGCCACTGCGGTGCTGCGCCCGCGGGCCATGCGAACCCCTGCGGCACCTGCATGCCGTGCACAACTGCTGGCCCCCCGTCTGTCGTCGGCTGCCCAGATGCTGCTGCCGGTGGCTGCTGCCGAGTGCCCACACCGCCGCAGTAATCCCAGCCGGCTCTAGAACCATCGGCAGCGCCCGCGCCAGCACCGTCGGCGTCCGCCGCCGCCATTCCCGCCGCTCCTGCCACCGCCTCCTCGTCTTCCGAATCCTCCGGCACTAGCTCCGCCACTTGCGCCTGCAGCCGCTGCAGCTGCTCCTCCTGCGGTGGGGAAGGTAAGACGGCAAGGGCACAAAGGAAGAGGCTGGAAGACGTACGCAAGGGCGCGTGGAGATCGGCGCTCGGAAGGGACATGGGTGCGGTGCGGAAGGGCGCCAAAATGCCAACAGCATACCGGTGTCCACCCGCAAGATCTCACAGGCCCGCAGCCCGCGCTCACCATGGCCTTGGCGGCAAGTTGAAGTGCGTCACGCTCCTGCTCGGCTGCAGCCGCCTCGGCCTCAATGGAAGCCGCATTGCGACTTGCCTGCTCAGCCGTACGGAAAGACGCGAAGCAGGAGAACGAGGGTGTGCATTGCGTTAGGCTTATTAGGAGCCGCCAGCGCGCCATCGCCTCGCCCTCTCCTACCTTTTGCCACTGTCATCGCGGCGGCCCCTACACATAAAGTTCCGGAACTCCATATGCACTCGTGAATGTCATGCTGCTGTGTCGTACCTGCGGTACGTAACCCACCTGATCCGCTTGCGTCCTTGCCACCGCCAGCTCTGCTGCCTGGCGCCCCAGCAGCGCTGCAATCGGGTGGTCGGGAGCATCCACTGCAGCTAGGCGGGAGGACAACGCCTGGTGCGAAGAGGTGGCGGAAGCTAGGCTCGCGCTGAGCTCTGCGGTTGGCGAAATGGGTTTAAGGAGGGACGTGGGGCTGGGTAGTTGGAGTTACAGGGTCTCTGGGCTACATCGGTAAGGGAGGTCTTTGGGCTCGGGTGATCTGGGTCGAATGAAATGGATGGGTCAGGGATCCAAGGTCAGGTGATGTCAGATGTTCTGGGTCGGGTGATGTGGGTCGGCTAATCGGGGTCAGGTGATCTGGGTCGGGTGACCCGGGTCAAGTGATTTGGGTCGGGTGACCCGGGTCAGATGTTCTGGTTTGGGTGATGTGGGTCAAGCGATCTGGGTCAGGTGATGTGGGTTGGGGGATGCGGGTCAGATGTTCTGGGTCGGATGATTTGGGTTGGGTGATGAGGTTTGGGAGGTTTGGGTTGGGTGATGTGGGTGGGGAGATTTGGGTTGGGTAATGTGGGTCATGTGATCTGGGTCAGTTGTTTGGGCATGGTGATCTGGGTCCAGGATACTTGATCCTTATTCATTTCCAAGCGATCTGGGTCGGGTGGTATGGGCCACGGTGGGCAACCCGGGTAATAAGGCAACCGGGTTCATAGGGTTATGGCAACTTAATCAGCCAACAAGACCTAACAAGGGGAATAGATAGGGTCTGCAGCGTGTTGCTTGCAGGGTGTGGCAACAAGGCAAGACCGCGCAGTACAAGTTCCTTTGGTCTTTATCAAGACTAGCATCAAATGCAGCCTAATGTCAACCCACCAACTAATTCCGCCTCCAGCGCCGTTATCGTCTGCCGCTCCTCTCGTAGCGCTGCGCTCTTGGATACCCACTCCGATTTGTACGACAGCAGCTCTTCACGCCGTACCGGCAGCTCCGCTTCAAGCTTCTCGCGCCGCTGCGTTGCCGCCTGCGCTTGAGCCTGCCAGGTAGCCCGGGAATGCTGCTTTATAAAGGCGTCGGAATCCGCTTCCAGTGCAGCAACACGCTCCTCCAAGGCTTTACGGTCGGCTACTAGTGCTTCCTGCAATGCACAACGGGTTTGTCCGGGTAGGGGCGGGGTTCGTAGCCATCGCAGGGCACGATAACGGGCTAAGGGGCCCGTGCAACGCAGCTGCAGGGAAGGGAATAGGGGCTTTATGTCGAAAGCCGTCCGACCCACATCCCACGAGAGCTTTGCTTGTGATTCCGATGTGGGTTTCCTCGAAGCACCCATCATGTGGAATGGAAAACACGACAGACCCAAAGCGCACTTCTTTCACGCGGCCACACCTCCAGTTCCAGCTGTTGGCCCTGTAATGCTGCAACTTGGCGACTTTGTTCGGATAGCAAAAGTTGTAAATCTTCATCCTCGCCTTCGTTCTGCGCCGCCTCGAGCTCCAACGCTTTGGCGCGCTCGGCGTCCTGCTCTAGCTGCGCTGCAGTTGCATCTATTTGCTTTTGAAGGCCAGCACAGGTAACTAGCTCCTCCCGAATTGCCTCATCGATTGCATCAAGCTCTCTGCGCACGAGAGCCACGCCTGCTGCCAAGCCGGCAAGCTGGGAGTCCATGACGGCTCGCCAGGAAAGGTAGCGTAGGCAGAGTCCTATCTGGTTAGCGGCGTTTTCGCATGTACTGTCTCTTCACCGGAAAGCAATCATCTGGGTCTCAGGTTATGGGTTTAGCAAGCAACGGAAGTGCATTTCCTTTATTTATACTAGGACATTTCTTTATTCAAGCGGTATTTATACTAGGACATTTCTTTATTCAAGCGATAGTTTAAAAAGGCTGGCATCGCGAACACTCCGCTTACGGCGTCCCGCGGGACGTTAAGAAGAAACAAAGGCCGAACTCCACGCTAACTCCACCTGATTTTTTCATGACTTTTGGACGGCATTACGTAACCGTATATGAGCTTTGGCCGGCGGGCTCACCCAATTCGCTGTCAAGCATGTGACATGTGCGCTTCTGCTCCAAGACAATAATAAGTTTATAGGCATCTGTTCCATTCATAATGGACACTATAACTATTGACGCAGATTATGGATGACACGATCCGCGTCATGGTGCGCGGATCCGGAGGTGTACTTGTACGGAAGTGCGACAGCTGGGAGAGTCTGACTCAACGGGTTCACCAAGTACTCCATATAAGGGCCGCAAAGTCTATCGAATTCATCATACTCAAGACGCAAACAAACAGCGATAGGAAAGCCCAGTAGGCTATTTATGCGACTTCCTGTCGACTCGCCAACTTCTCATCAAGGGTCACGGGTTTCGCAGTATTACAGAGAGATATACAAGGCAGGGACATCTTATTAGTATGGTCCGCATCCTCCAAAATGCCCTCGCTCTTGCCATGGTCGGACTGATGTTGATGTTGCCCAGCCAAGCTGCCCTTAGCCCCCCGTATGGCGACCGGCGAGGCGTCAATTATAACTGGAAGTGGAGGTCTGGAAGGGCAACTTGGTTTGGTGGTTCAGACGGGTAAGTTATGCGGTGCTGAGGTAGGCAATCAATTGCACATGGAGCAATTGTCGGGCTCCATTCTTAACAGTGTCCCTATCCACAATGGCCAAGTTTGTATATTTAGCGCTTTATAAAAAGACCGTTTCTTGCGCTTCGTCCAGGTGGTCGATACACAACGGAAGCTGTAATTACCAATACATCTATCCTGACGAGCCGCTGGGCTGGGACGTGGCGGCCCTTACTGACGTCATTAGCGAGTATCCAGACAGCTGCGGGTAAGTGCCATACGATCAGCGTCCTGCTTCTCGATGCGAGGCAATGCCTTTGATATTTCCCTGCCCTCCTTCGCAGGCTTTGTTATGAGGTGGCTTGCGACTCTACCTGGACATCCGATAACTATGGATCGTCGTTTGACCGTACCGCATCATGCTATGACACAGATGCGAGTCTCGTAGTGCGCATAGTGGACGTCTGCCCCTGCCAGTAAGTGGTTTTGTCGACCTATTCCTGACATCCTCTCTCTAAGGCGCGTACGGAATTTGGGCATCACCATATGCTTTCATGATCGCAGGTATCCCAGCAACGCGTATAACAACAAGCGTTGGTAGGTACGGCGTTTGTAGCGTCGGAAATGGGGACACGTTCCTAAGGGCGTTGTTTTCCTTTCTCGCAGGTGCTGTGGCGATCGGGACCACTTGGACATGTAAGCAGACCTTACTACCTTGTCAATGTTTGTCGCTGGTCAGGATGCTAAAAAGTACTGATAACCAAAAACTGACGTTTCCTATCCTTGCATTGTACCGTCTCGTCTTTTCGCTCGTCAGGTCTATTTGGGCTTTCGAGAAGGTGAGTCGAGCTACTGAGTCCGGCACCTGTATTCGTTCCTCTACTCGTCACGGCAACACCTGTATTCGTTCCTCTACTCGTCACGGCAAGAGGCTGATCCACACCATTGTCTGCATGCAGCTTGCCGAGACGCGCTGGGGTGTTATTCCTATCCGCTATCGCCCAGTTCCGTGCGACTACAAACCATCTAAGAAGGCAAAGTCAATCTCCAATCCCACCCCGGCCGTGAAGCCGCCCGCCGGTAAGGCCCTTGACGTGCGACAATGCTAGGAGTCTAGCAAGCATTCAGGGTTTTGACCCACTGTTGTACATCCTTCCCCAATTCCCTCTGTAGCCTAACAAATTGCGCTTCCAAATTTGCAGGTGATGTCAGGCGCACCCGTGATTGGCCCGAGTACTTCCCTGACAGCAGCAACACACGCTTATCTGTCTTCGAGGACGGGTAAGCAAGCATTTCGTCAATTGTTTTGTGTTTGGCTACGAAATCGTGCTTACCATGTATCACGCAAGGCTCCCCCTGCCCACAGATATGCGAGTGGCATTGTGGATAATTCATGGAAGATGCAACTGCAGTCCCTGGCTGATTCCTCCAAGAGTGGCGCTGCTGGCAGCCAAGCTGTTTGCGGCAAGGTCCCGATTGGGGTGAGTTGAGTCCTGTGACGACTGTGCCGGAAAAAGACGGAGCACAGATCCACACGCATCCCTCTGCTTGCCCTTTCAGGGTGCCCTCGCCTTCCGCGGCTGGAACGGCATGTTCAGCAAGCGCAAGGCGTTAGAGTTCTGGTTCTACGTTGGTGCTACCGGCTGGGATGGCAAGGACCAGAAGACACCCGACCTTTGGGTCAGCGTCTCGGGGAAGAAGGCAAGTTGGGGGGCAACGAAGGTTGTGATTTCCACATTGTCGCAACGCAAGCATTGCATTGAACTATTCCCATTACTCGCCGGTCGCAGGGTGGTTGCAAGCCGAGCCGCGTTATTGATAGCAAGCCGATTTACTATGAGCCGATGTGGAAGCCTTACGCCCAGACGTACTACTGGGGCTGGCAAATCTACCTGCCCGTCTTCAACGGCTGGAAAGTCAACAGCGTCATCAACAAGTACTCAGACTTCACGGTAAGAGTCGCTCTGGTTCTTTACCTTGCAGGATAGATGCACGATTTGGGTTAATAAATGAGAACCGATGTTTGCTCGTGTGGTTAACATGGCTGACCTTATTCGCGCAGGGCTGTGGTGGAAACAGCGTGTGGGATCTGGACACCATCGAGTTCCGTAACGACGGTTGGGCAGAACAATGGGCATGCGTCGACAGGGTCCGGCTCATCTAGCTGACAACCTGGCATACGCGGCGCATGCAAGACAGTCACATGACCACCTTATGGGCTATAGCGTGCATGGTTGGGAACAAAGCAACAAGATTTCTGCCGCCAGTTAAATATGGACTTCCTAGCTTGTGATACAGCCGCAGGAGTATTCTATGACCTCCATGTTAATAGTTAGCGTCCGTGCACGTAAATATCCATGGTGTGACAACTTAGGCGTGCTTGAACTGCAAACTGCCAACCTCTTAGCGAATTTTTGATTGCATGGGTATGTGGGCGCTGCTCGTAACTGGCAACTCCTGTGCACATATTGGTGCACAATGCCTTGTGACTCTTGCTGATTAGCTCTAGTACTGCTGCGGAGGTCATATTAGGATGAACGTCACCTGTGATAGGCTGGCATACTTGCAGGGATCGCTATTATTACAACACATTCGGATATGTTACGTCAGTTTTGTCGAGTGTCCATGTATTAAGGATTGCACTGACGGCCGCCATGGTATGCCCTGTTATATGAGTTCCTAGTATGAGTTGGCAAGTCGGTCCCGCAGTGAATCGACGCCTTGATGGGAAGCAGTGTAACTACCATTACATGTGAACCCTAAATGTCGTCGGAGGAAAGCCTTGCCCACAGTAACAAGCACCGCTCTTTGGGGCTATTCGGCTATTCCAAAACAAGCTATTAGCGTCGTCCAATACTTTGTAGAATCAGATGCCATTGACACCTAAATGGTTAGTCGCACGAAACTTAGCAGCTTTATCTTACATAGCAGCTGACGACTACCGGTAAGACAATCATGCATCATGGGCATGCGATTACCGACAGCTTGCGCCTAGCCTAAATTTACATGGTCAAGTCGTTGGCCGCAATCTGTATAGCATAGCCACTTAGTCTTTCGGCATATGTAAGCTAGCGTCGAGATTCGAAAGCTCCCTCGTCAATCCCTTTTTGCATCAGGAGCCATGGCACTCTATGACTATATTATTCTTTAAAAGGTTTGCAGCTGATTGGGGTCACACTGTTTAGTGTCGTTCAGCGCGCTATTGTGGTCCTCAGGCCTGCTGTACACATTTGTCATGTTGTACTATATTTCGTGACAGATATGAGATATCCTTGTCAACTTCCTGTCATGTTCCAAGTTCTGTTTAAAATAGGGGCATATATACAATGGGTTGGCACGGTATCGTCACCTTATTATTGCCCTTGCTAGGTACGCCGAGCGTGTAGTTGCCTAGGCTCTGCTTGGGGCCCGACTTGCGCTTCTTACTCAATTTATTACTCTTGCAGCTGTAGGCCTTCTTACAAAGAATGCGATCGCGGTGCAAGGCTGTTCGGAAGGTATGCGTGGGCTGGCTTGCAGCTTGAATGCTTGCTCTCCGTCCGCCGATAGTGGTGGTGCTGTACCATATACGGATGGAGGTACCATATGGTGGATAGGCTTCTTCTGTGCCCTGGTACTGTGCTTCTACTCCGCATCTTGACTCACCTTCGGTGTCTCTCTTAATGTCATGAAGAGCCCATCACGAGCCTTGGCATATTGCTGCCGTGGTATGTGGGCCCCTGGGACACTCAAGCATATGACGTACTGGTGCGATTGGGAAGCGTATGCGCGTTGTCGCCTGGTCGGTGGTTTGCCTGGGAAGGCATGCAAATCCGTGGGAGGGGAGGCAGCGCCGAGCAGAGAAGCGGGAAACTAGTGCATATGGGTTTAACGGCAGGCCCACTTCCCGGACGCGTGCTGCCAGATAAAAGTGGCACTGATGCGAAACTACGAACCACTCCAAGAATTGGTGCCATACCGGAACCGTTCTGGAGCAAAAGCCTGAGAACTGGCCCTTCTTTTTCGGTTCCTCCCGTCCTATCTTTTAGGCCTCCTATGGCCCTCGCTGCCTGGTGTATGCCATCGTCACCGGCGACGACAGCGGGCCGCCGACCAACAGCTTCGACCTGTACACCAGCGCCTTCACCAAGCTAACGAAAGCCGGTAAGGGGCGGGTTGTAAAGCAGGGCGTTCAAAGCAGGGGAGGGGGAAAGCTTGATCAATACATGCACGGGGCATTGGGCAAGTCCAGCCCATAACGTGGCTCCTTCAGCAGAAAAATCGTCTTAGGAGGGCAGCGTGTTTGCCACCCATTAGGGCCATTACGCGCTCTTGCCTTTGATGATGGCGGTGCGGCGAGCAAGCAGTGCTGCAATCGTATATGCTTGCGTCTGAGCCGCATGAGCCAACCAAGCTGCCCCACTCCTGATCCCTTTCGCTTGCCCCAACCAACCTACCAACCTACTGCTGCACAGGTATCAAATTATACGGCTACGTGCACACGATGGCTGACGTGTCCGCACATAAGGCCCGCCCGCTAGCTGATGTGGTGGCTGACGTGAATGCTTGGTACGACAAGTTCGGATCTTTGTTGCTGGGCATCTTCCTTGATGAAGTGGATGGTGCCACGGTCAACGTGAGTGCGGGAGCAGCGTTGGGAGATAAGCTGAAAATACATTCCCTACCCCGTCAACACAAATAGCTTGACCTGGCAACGCGACATACCGTAGCAGCGCCGCGGGTCGGATACCGGTACCGTATGTGTCCAGTGTCCAGGCATGGGAAGAGTCCATCTGCCTACTAGCCGAGCCCCCTCTCCAACCCTTCACCACCCAGACATCCCTTTGTCCCTTGGTTTATCCTGCTTCCCTGCTGCCCCGTCGGCAGGTCAAGGCTCAGACGTACTACAGTTCCATTGCCGACGCGGTCCGGCAGCGCAGCTCCACCGCCCGCGTGATGTTCAATCCGGGCACCGCCATCACATGCAAGCTGGCGGCACTGGCGGTGAGGAAAAGGGGGATGAAAGGAAAATGGGGAGAAGCTGAGGAAGAGGTGCTAAGAAGGCGAAGAAGCCCCATGCTATGAACGCAGAGGGGTGGATAGGCGATGGACCCATCAGGCGCCGCAGCAGCATTGCAACCCTCTCTCCTTCTTCTCCCATACCGTGACCCTCCATGCTTTCCTCTTCCTCTTCCCTGCTCCTCCTTCTCCAGGACGTCTACGTGCGCTTCGAGTCCTACGCCTCGGACTGGGCCACAGAGTACGCTGCCGGCGCGCGTTGCGACTGCGCCGACCAGGCCGCCTGCGCGCTGCTGCTGCATGGCCTTGCGCCGCCTTCCGCCTCCTCCTCAAGTACGGCCGTCAAGCCGTCTGGCGCTACCCCGCTGGCCACCATGCTTAGCACGCTGGTGACTCAGGCGGAGGGTCGGGCCTTCTCCTACATCTTCGCGACGGATCACGACATGCCTGACCCATGGGACGGTCTGCCGAGCTACTTTGACGCGCTGCTAAATGCGGTGGCGCCGGTAAGGAGGGGGCGGAGCATGCAGATTAGGAATGTGTGTGAGCGCGGGTGCACTGGGTGGGAGGAGTGGAGATGGGAAGGAGCTGTGTGGCTTGAAGAAGAGGGCAAGCGACCTCGTGTACGATGGGGGACTGAGATGGATTGTGGGTGACCGGTACGGTAGTAGACAACGTGACAAGCGGGATAGCCTACGACCAACTCCAAAATGAAGAAGCGATGGACAGAGCCCCGCACCTTTTTTCTCGCTGCGCAGTTCACGACACCGCCGCCAGGGCAGGCACCCAAACCCTCTCCTCCATCGCCACGGCCACCACCACCTAAGTTGGCTTCGCCGCCGCCACCACCACCACCGAAATCGGCTTCGCCGCCGCCGCCGCCGCCACCGAAATTGGCTTCGCCGCCGCCGCCGCTTGTAGTGAAGTCGCCGCCCCCCCCGCCGCCCTCACCCAAGGCATCACCACCTCCCACGCCCCCGCCACCATCGCCAAAGCCGCCGCCCCCTACGCCACCTCCAGCAAAGTTGTCGTCGCCACCGCCACCAAAGTCGTCGCCGCCGCCGCCAAAGTCGTTGCCGCCACCGCCAAAATCGTCGCCGCCACCTCCGCCAAAATCGTCGCCGCCACCTCCGCCAAAGTCGTCGCCGCCACCTCCGCCAAAGTCGTCGCCGCCACCTCCGCCAAAGTCGTCGCCGCCGCCGCCAAAGTCGTTGCCGCCACCGCCAAAGTCGTCGCCGCCACCTCCGCCAAAGCCCATGCCGCCCCCTCCGCCGCCAACACCGCCTCCGCCATCCTCCAAGCCAAGCCCGGCGGGCGTGTGGCGACCCACGGGTCAGTTGCGCTGGCAATGGCAACTCAGCGGTGAGGACTTCCGCCCCATGCTGCGCACCCGGCCTGAGGTGAGTGAGCCCGGCACATGCCCCTCCTCGTCCTCTGTCCCACCCTCACATCCCTAGCTGCATTAGCACCGAATCCTTTGCACTCCGCCAGAACTTCGTGCAATGGTACCGGTGCAGTGCTCCTGCTCTTCTGCCTCGTACAGTCTCCTCCGTCCGTACCCTTGCCTTCTCATGGCACGCAGCCCTCATGTGGGTCATGCTCCATCCATCCCCCCCATGCTCTCTCCCGCTGCTGCCAGGTTATCGATGTCGACGCCGACCAGGTGTCGAAGCTGCTGGCCCAGGCTGCGGAAGTGGGAGTGGCCCGCTCCAGCTTCAAGGTGTGCGGTGCGGCCCTGTCCTCCGCCCGGGCGGGAGGTCCGTCGGAGTGTTAAGAACGCTGTCACTGCGCGTTCCATTGTTCCCACACCTCAGCCCACTCGTCCCCGCCTTTCCCCGCCTCCTTATCCTTCCCTCACTCCCACTACGGTACATTCCCCTCATGCTTCTTCTCCTCCTCCTCGGTCCTCCTCTTCCTTCACCTCCTTTCCCTCCCTCCATTCCTTGCACAGCTCATCTGCTACTTCAGCGTGGGCACCTACGAGCCCGGCCGCGCAGCTGACGACCTGACCCTCCGCAACATCTCCTGGGCGGCGCTGGAGAAGCGACTGGGCGGCGGCAGCGCCTCCGCCGGTGCCGCCGCTCCCGGTCCGCTGTACCTGGCCTACCTGGACGGTCCCTTCAGCGATGAGAGGTGGCTGGCCATCGACCTGCCAGCAACGCGGACGGCCCTGGTTAACGAGGTACGGTGGAGGTGTAGGGTGCAGAAGGAGGCTCGGCGAGGCTATACACACACCCAAGACACGCCCGCCGCTTGTTGTTATTGCACACGGTTATAGCGCCTGCGTGCCTTCCTCCACCCCCGGGGCCCCTAACCCGCTCCTTGCGTTGTGATGCTGCCCCGGCGTGGCGCAGGTGATGCTGCCCCGCATGCGCGCCGCCGCGGCTTCTGGTTGCGATGGGATTGAGATGGTGGGTCGGGTCGGGTCCTTGGATTGGGTTGGGTGTCGGGTAGGAACGGGTGGCCGATTGCTAAATCCGGGTGGCGCATGTATCGACGTTGCGCATCTGGATTGTGCACGTGCACGTAGATACCGGTAAGCACCTAGACGACACAGACTGTGACTGCCGTACTTGCTGCTTGAAACGTGCCCCAACCCTACTTGCTCCCTCTCTTCTCCCTATCGGGATATGGGAGTTGAGACTCCTGTGCCTACCTGGTGCTTCACTTTTCAACAATGTTTCCCCTCTCCTCTCTCCCCGCTCTCCTCTCCTCCCTGGCCCCCCCTCAGGACAACGTGGATGCGTACGGCAACGTGCCGCCCACCTCCTCCCAGTCCCGAGGCGTCACCACCGCGCACCAGCTCGCATACAACGCGGCCCTGCTGGACGCGGCGCACGCGCTGGGGCTGTCGGCGGGGCTGAAGAACGCACTGGCGCTGCTGGGCGCAAACCTGCCGGACGGGCGCGCGGTGGCGGACGCGTACGACTGGTTCCTCAACGAGCGCTGCTGGGAGTTTGATGAGTGCGACTACTACGGCAAATACGTGAAGCGGTGAGAGGAGGGGAGAGGAGGGGGCACAGGAGTGTGTGTCTCAGGCTGGGGTGCTAAGGGTGGGGAGGGGTTGCCAAGGGGGGGGGGGGTGCTCAACAGAGGGTGGATCACTGTTTCTTCCTTCTCCGGGTGCTGTTAGAGTGTTACCAGCGGGGCAGCAGAAGCGCACTGCACTCTTCCTCTCACCTCCCTCCTTCCCCACATCCTCTCCCACTGCCCACTCCCCGCTTCCCGGCTCCCCCCCCCCGCCCCCCACGCCCCCCCCCCCGCCCCGCCTCCGTCATGGGTGTCGAGTACTGCGACTCCAAGCAGCAGTTCGGCACCGGCTCCCGCAACCTGCGCCCCGAGTGCGTCTGCGCGCTGGCCAACCGCAGCCCCGCGCCCGGCAACCCCTCTCCCGGCGTGGCAGCCCAGGTGAGCCTCAGCTGGCTGGTCAAGACGGTGGACCTGTCGGCAGTGGGACTGGACTGCAGGCAGCTGTGCGGCGGGGGAGGCTACAGCGGTCTCAACGTGACGTGCGCGCTGCCGACGGGAGGCAGCGTGTCGGGGTGCGTGAAGAACACGCCCGCGAACCTGTGTCCGTCGTACGGTGTGAAGTAAGCGGGCTGCTATAAGGGTGAGGAGGAGGAGGGAGGGAGGGTGAGGAGGGTGAGTTGTGAACTTGTAATGGAGGAATGAGTAGAGCGGATTGTTTAGCTACCGTACAACATAGGCGCGCGTTTCTTGTGTAGCAGTTGGTTTGTTTGAACCTTGCTTGTTTGTGAAGGTTGAAGGTTTCGTGACGGGTCCTTGCATGCTATACCGTACCTACAACTGCCGGGTTTCACCATCGGGATAGCAGTACATGCTCTCTTACTCGAAGCTTGGAATGCAGCGCGTGTGTGCGCCGTGCGGCCATTGTTGTCTGTAGCTGTTTATCTGTACAACCCTTGCGCAATATGCTGCGCGCCGGAACACAACATGGAGAACAGGAGATCAGCCATATTCCTGTCACAGTCATATAGGATCTCGCAAGCATAGGATCTATACCAGTCATAGGATCTATAGCTGTCACTGGTGCATTTGCAGCATCTGGAGTGTTGGTGTTGGGGTGGTGGCTGTATGGAGGGGGTGGCATGCTGTTTCTGTTATGGTAACTTTGTTTAGGTGTGGTAGTGATCGCCGCCTGCCCGCCATGACACGCCCTTGTAGCTGTTACCGGTTATCGGCTATCGTTGCTCACGTCGCGTTGTCCTAAATCCTGTGCAAGCTGCTGCAAGCGGGAGACCCCAGTAGTCGTTTGGCGGCCGGCAGAAGCAGCTTATGAGTGACCGTTATTAATGCCGGGCTAGCAGTCGGCGGGGCTTCGGTTGTGTGTGTATTGATGTTTTGTAATCACCTTAACTATGCGATGATGTTGTTATGAGGATGCCGCCTGCTTGGTGACCTCCTGTTGTGGCCCTTTCCAGTACTGTTTCTGCCGCTGGCTGTTGGGTCTGACGGATCTAAGGTTCCGTAGGGCCCGGTGACACGCGACAGAAGTAATACCGTCTCATTCTGATGCTGCAGCGTTGCCGTCGGCGTATCCCTGGTCGACATGCGCACAGCGGTTGGGCTTGGCCACCTAACAGTTACAAGCCCACATATGCATGGCATTTAAAACGTCACAATAAATGTTCGTTTGTCAATTGGTTCACATAAGCGCTTACGACCGTTCGACTATTGGGCTTCAATTGCACGCCCCAATTGGCGGTTGATGGATTCACATTGAACCAGGCTGCTTACAAAAAGGGCTCGTAACTTGCGGAACATGGACATTAAAGCTTTGGTCTGCATTAACGCATTAACACTGCTATCTAACATGACGCGCGTCGTTCTTTTCGGTGGCACCGGCATGGTCGGCCAGGGCTGCCTTCGGGAGCTTCTTCTTGACTCAGGGGTCACTAACGTACTGGCGATTGGAAGACGGTCAATTGGGAAAGAGGACCCGAAGCTGCGTGATGTGGTCATAGGCAATCTGTCAGACCTCAGCGCTGTTGCTACTGAGCTCAAAAGCGTGGACGCCTGCCTCTACTGCCTCGGAACATCAGCAGCAGGGATGAAGGAGGCGGAATATACCGCTGTAACGAAGGCCCTGACGCTGAATGTCCTGGATTCATTGCTGGCAGAGAACCCCAACATGCGCTTCCTGTACGTCTCGGGAGCAGGCTCAGATGCCAAGTCATCGACCATGTGGGCACGCGTTAAGGGCGAAACCGAGAATGAGGTGAGCTGCCCGAAGCTCCAGCCCTAAGCGCAACAATGGGAACGTCCCCACGTCCCAGGTACCTTGCCTGACCTTCCCCTCTACCTTCACATCCAAGCCAACCACATACCGACCATATATTCACCCCCCAACCTCCCGCATCCACGCCACAGATCCTAGCGCGCGCCCCAAACACCGCGGCCATCTTCCGGCCCGGCCTCATCGAGCCGCTGCACGGCATCAAGGGCCAGCAGTCGCTGCTGTACAAGCTCATGTACGCAGCCACACCCCTGCTGCGAGGTCTGGGCGCGCCGGTTACCTCAACGGAGACCCTGGGTCGCGCCATGGTTGCGGTTGCCAAGGGCGCAAGCACTCCAAAGAAGATTCTAGAGAACGATGACATCAACAACCTAGTTAAGTAGTATGTGGTACGGTAGTGCCCAACCCAAGCACCAAGCACTCACCTGCAGGGGTGGTTTGAGGCTGAGACTCAAGCAGTAGCAGTAGTCTCAAGGTACGACGGCAGGGTCGGTACGTCAACACGTGCTGTACGGCAGCGAGATGTAGGACATGGGCTGTAGCGATGTACGGCAAGGTATGGTGTAGGACGGTTTTGCAGACGGGGGATGAGTACCGTCAGTGTGCCTGCTCTTGCACGAAGCTGTTGTGGTCTCGCTTTCTGCATGCCCCGGCCACTGGCTGAGTGCAAGTGTGCACCACTAGCGCAACGGCGTGAACTTTGTGTGAACAGCGCTGCTAGGCATATCCCTTCAGTGTAAAGTAACAAGTACGACAGGGCTGGAACGCTGGAGGGTTTCCTTACGGTTGCAGGCGTTCCAAATGGATGTGGTGGGGCGTGCTGCTGCATGGCGTAGTTTCCCCTGTTCCCGTTCTGTCGTTCCGCATGAATAAGAGGCCGTTACAATGGCATGACATGAAGTGACATGACCTCATTTGAAGCATGAAGCTTAGGCACAGAGGGGAAGACATCTGTAACTTGTCAGCGGCAGTTAGCACGGTTGTACAAACATCAGCTGCTGCCTTGCCCCTGGTCTCCCCGTTGTCTTGTCATGCAGCTTACCCAGTGGCACCCAGCGCCTTAATGCGCTTCTTGACGATGAAACTACCTTCTAATGCTTACTACCCCAAACACATCTGACTACAGTACGGAACATCATCAGGTACCATCCCTTCCGTGTCCCCGCAGCCCCGCACCTTCCCGCCTTCCCGAACTGGCGCTGTCCATAGCAGCTGGTAACAGTGCCCAAGCAGGACCTCGAATAAGCCAGCCATCAACCAAAACAAGCAAACGGCAATGCCGTTCCAACCGGCTACCGTTAAATACGCAACCACCCAACCTCCCAAGCTCACGATCCGCCCCTTCCACCGGCGGGACCAACTCCACCTCCTCCGCTCCCTCCTCGTCTCCCGCTCCCCACATCCTCACGGCTCCCTTCGCCAGGCGCCTCCTTGCGTCCGTGCGACGGCCGCATCCGCCGCCTAGCAGCCGGCAGCACCGCGGCCGCAGCAGGTGCGGGAACGATGGGTTCGCGCCTAGCCAGCCAGGGCAGAGGGGGCTGGTCCTGCGGGACAGGCGGCGGGAGGGTCTGTAGCACGTACAGGGGCTATAAAGTACTGGGCTTGGGAGTTGGGAGTTGAATCGTCATATAACACATCTTTGAGGCCGCCGCGGGCCGCCCAGGCCCCTTTTTCACGTCTGTCGGCTTCCATTGGACTTCCCGGTGCCTCCCTAACCCGGCCCATGCTACCATGGAACAGAGCAATCGCCCCCTCCAGCCACACAAAACCCCCCCCCACGCACCCTCCGGACACACATCCTCCGGCATGGGCAGCTGAAACCCACCCACCCCCCCCGCCACCCCGCCTCCCCCACCTGCAGCCCCATCACTCCCCCCTCCTCCGCGCGGAAGGTGGTGTACCGCGGCCCCAGGCAGGCGGCGAGCACCCCACCCGCCAGGAAACCGCCCAGGTGGCCCCTGAGGGGGCGGGTGGGGGGGGGGAGGTAATAAGAAGATAACTGACGAGCTGTATGACACGAGGCTTCACCACGGGTTGCTAATTGAACGCATTGGCATTTAAAACGTTACAAAAATATTCGTTTGGCAATTGGTTCATATAAGTGCTTACGACCGTTCGACTATTGGGCTTCAGGTGGCGGTTGATGGATTCGCATTGTTGACACTCGTACGGCGGTCCGGACAGAGAACAGGGACCCAGCGCCGTGCGAGCGAGTGACCGTTATTAATGCCGGGCTAGCAGTCGGCGGGGCTTCGGTTGTGTGTGTATTGATGTTTTGTAATCACCTTAACTATGCGATGATGTTGTTATGAGGATGCCGCCTGCTTGGTGACCTCCTGTTGTGGCCCTTTCCAGTACTGTTTCTGCCGCTGGCTGTTGGGTCTGACGGATCTAAGGTTCCGTAGGGCCCGGTGACACGCGACAGAAGTAATACCGTCTCATTCTGATGCTGCAGTGTTGCCGTCGGCGTATCCCTGGTCGACATGCGCACAGCGGTTGGGCTTGGCCAAGAACGAGGATTTCGGTGTGATCTGTTGGAACTGCTGCCCGATAGGGCGGATCAGTAAAGCGGCCTGGGGCAGCCGTTTACCTCCCTGTCCCAGCCTGTCCGCCCCAATCTGGACCGGGTGACAGGCTGAGGGAAAGCGCGAACACTCTTGACGTGATTTAACATCGTAGCGCTACACACTACGCGCTATTATCCGCCCTTCCTGCAAGCTGGTTGCATGCAAACCGCCCTGACAGTAGAGCTGTCGAATAAGGCTCGCTCCCACGAACACAGATAAGGCAAGGTGCTCATGTCGCTGAGCTGTCGCCCAGCAACACCCTGGGGCCGAGCGATTGGTTACCTGTGCACGTATGGTGTAAGCATTTCAGAGTAATTTTATGTTTAACATCCTTCCTGTCTTGTGTGGTAAGGCTTTGCTGATCGGACGTGGCCCGGGGATTGTACATCTGTTACAGGACTACTGCGTACTGGAAACGGCTTCGCGTCAGCGCAACCAACCGTCAGCGCGTTCAAGCACTTGGCTTTGCTCTTCCTTGAAATTAATATAAACAAATACAATGGTCCATTCTTGCTTAAAGGACTGGGCGTAGTTGACCGTCGTTCTGCGACGGTTCACAGCAGCGACATGAATTTTGTCACATCCTTTTATCCGCAAGAACATCGGACACCGCCTTTACCTCTTGTAGCGCTGTTAGGATGTGCGGAGCTGCATAGAGAGATAGGAGACTACTTTATCCAAAATCATAGGCCTCCTCTCGTCTTCCATGGCTCAAATGAACCTTTGGAGCAGTTTGTGGGCCGAGCGTTTGGTAAGAGCGGCTCGTTTTGCAGTGGAGTCTGGTGCCTCGAGGATCGTGGCTTCATTGCACGCTTGGCAAGGGTTTTTACTGGACCACCTTGCCACTTGCATAATGTTTCATAGGTCCAAAGAAGCGCTCGGCCCTCCTGGCGGGGCCCCTTCCGGGCATCCTCAAGGTGCGGAGCGCAGGCATCTAGATGCGGAGGGACCGTGTTGACAGGCACCATGCAGGGAACATGTCTCCAGAGCGGGAGAGCGTGGGGATATCCAGTTGCTACGTAGAGCACCAGCGAATGTGGGGAAGGGGCCCGGGTGTTGCCCACAGGGCCCCCACAGCTCAAGCTCTTTCCCCTGCTCGCCCACAGGGTTCTCCCAACCGCAACTCCATTTTCCCTTGTACGCTGCCTTATGCGCCCTTCCGCTGCTGCCGCCCCCCTTTCCCCTCTTCCCTAACACCCGCAGTCCGACTGGTTCGCCAAGCACCGCGGCAAGAAGCCAGCCATGGCAGTCGCACTGGTGGAGCGGTGAGGGCGCCTGCGGGGGGTGGGGGACAGCAAGCACTGGGGGTCATAGAGGAAGCAGGTCTTCCGCACCACTCGTGCGGAGAGGGGCTACAGCGCGGGCTAGAGCGCTAGACGGGGGGAGGGACAAACGGAAGCAGGACGGCGCCTCAGGGCATCATGCAGACCATCAAGCCACCTCCAGCCCGCGCATGGCCTCCTAACCCTAACCGCCCTTCGCCCCCTCTCCCACTTGTGGCTTGTCTCCGCCCCCTCCCCTCCCCCCAGTCGCGACCTGGAGGGCGACCCCGCCACCTGGAACCGCATGATGTACGGACTGAAGCTGATCGCGGACGCGGCGGGGCAGCGCGGGGCGGGGCTGCTGGTGGGGGTGGTGCAGCAGCAGGTGGGGGTGGGGTGGGGCGGGGGGCCTGACAGGGGTTGCGAGGTTAAGAGGGGTAGGAGGAAACTTATTGGCGGGGTTGACGTTGAAGGTTGTGTGCTTGTGGGGATGGACCTGGCCCCTTTCAGCTGCCATCCGCCAGCTGCTCCCCTCCCCTTACCTCCCCACCCGACCCTGCTCCCCTCCCTGGCCTCCTCCCGACCCTGCTCCCGACAGGGACTGGGCGACCTGCCGCCTGACCGCCTGCAGGCCGTGTCGCACAACCTGACACTGGACAGGAGGTGCGGCGGGAGTGCGGGTGTGGGGGGGCCGTCGTGTGCGGCCGCTCTGGGGGCATGCTCTGCCCCTTTCCGTGTCTTCCGATGCCGAAGAGCGGGTGACCTTGTTTCGCTCCAACAACGGCGCTACCCATGGCCCCTCACCTCACCCACACCCTCCCGCTCCCCGCTCGCCCCTCCCCACCAGACTCATCCTACCGCTGCCGCTGCTGCCGCCCCCCGGCGCCCTGCCTGACGACCCCGCCATCCGCCACGTGCGCGACGCGGCACTGTCCCGCCTGGGCAAGCTGGTTCTGGAGCTGTGCGGCGCCTACTACTCCCGCCTGGCGCGGCACGTGGCGGACAAGGCGGCGGCGCGGAGGGGCGCGCTGGGGGGGCCACTGCCGGCGGAGCTGGCGGCACGGACCGCGTTCAAGGTACGGTACCTGTGTGTGGCCGGTGTAATAGCGGTGCTTGCTGCGGGGTTGGAGTTGGGGGAGGGAGGGAAGGGGGTGCAAAGGATCTGGGAAACAAGGGTGTGGAAGGGAGTGAGGTGGAAGGGAGGGCGGAAGTGGGCGGAAGGCGGCGGCGTTGCGTGGTCATTGTTTAGTCTTCTTCTCACCCCCCCAACCCCACTGGTTCGGTATGGTCTTTGACCCCCCCCAACCCCAAACCCCCCCCCCCAGCTGGCGGTGTATGCTGAGTTCCGCCAGGACTGGGCCACTGCGGTGGCGCACTACCGGGAGTCGTACGCAGCCATACTGGCGGTGCAGGTGGGGTGGGGGGTTGGTGATGGGGGGCGGAAGGGGGATTGCGATTTAAGGGAGAAGAAGCTACCCGTCTGGCGGTGCAGGTGGGTCTGTCCATTGCCCCACCCCCATCACTCCCATGCACCCCATGGAGGGGCCTAGTCACACACACCCACACACACTCCCTGCTCCTCCTCCTCGTCACCCCAGGTGGGAGCGCCGCCCCGCCCGCAGCGCTGGACGGAGGTACGTTGCGGGGGGGGGTTTGCGTGTGTAGCCGGGGGACCCACGCAGGTCTAGCAGGGGGCATGGGGGGTTAGCGCGGGCGGAAACGCACGGAAGCATGGGCAGGAAGATCAAGGGAGCATGCCCCTATCCCAACACGCCCTCCTCTCCCTCCCTCCTCCCCCTCCTCTCCTCTCTCTCCCCCCCCCCCCCCCAAGATCTGCTCAGTAGCCGAGCTGGTGCACCTCAAGCTGGTCATGCTGGCGGTGCACCAGGGCCGGGTGGAGGACGCGGTGGCGCAGGTGCGGGCGCACCTCGCGCACTTCAGCAGCCCGCCCGCCGGCCCGCTGCCGCCCGCAGCGTACGGCAGCCACCTGGGCTTCCTCGTACGGCAGCACCAGGTGGCGGCGCAGGAGGTGGGCACGCACGTGGACGCGCTGCCGGCGTACGTCACCATGGCGGGAGGGGGGCTGGCGGCGGCGGCGGCGGCGGGGGTAACTGGAGGAGGAGGAGCAGGAGGAGGAGGAGGGGTAGCGGCGGGGGCAACGGGAGCAGCGGCAGCAGCAGCGGCGGCGGGGGTAACTGGTGGCAGCACCGCCAGTGCTGGGATCAACCCACCCGGCGCCTCGCCACAGCACCCGTCCCACCAGCAGCAGCAGCAGCAGCAGCAGTACCCGGCCCACCAGCAGGTGACAGGTGGCGGCGGCGGAGTAGCAGCAGCGGCAGCGGCAGCTGGTGCCACTGGGAGCGGCATGTCGGCGACTTGGACGGGCGCCACCGGCCCGCTGGTTCCCTCCTCCTCGCTCAAGGACTGCAGCCGGGCGCACCTGCTGATGGCGGCAGCGCGGCTGGCGGTGGCGAGGAGGCAGAACGCGGATGCCATGCGGGGGGCACGGGGAGGGGGGGCGGGGGGGCTGGGAGGAGGAGGTGGGGGAGGGGTGGTTGACACTGCGCCGGTGCGGCGGGGGCAGTACGTGGGGCAGCTGCTGCTGAGGAACGAGGCGGCGCAGGTGGGTGGGTGGGTGGGTGGGTGGGTGCATGGAGGAGGGAGGTGGGCTTGTTGGGTCTTTCCGTCGCGTTGACTGCCTTGCGGAGGGGAACGAACTTGTTCCGCTGTCCCGATGTTGTCCTGACACCACCACTCCCCCCCCCCACCCCCAACTATCCAGCCTAATGCGGATTCTGTTTCCAAATTAATCCCCCCCCCCACACACACACATCGCGGCCAGTTATTTTAACACACACATCCCAGTACGTTCCTACTCGCGGCCAGTTTTCTTAACACCCCCCCCCCCCCCCCCTGCCGCCCCCTGCTGGCCCCAGGGCGGCCACTCGCCCCTGTCCGACCAGGACTACCTGCTGTTCCTGGAGGTGCGGGGGGAGGGGGGGGGGAGGGGGGAGGGGGGGAGGTGCGGGGGGAGGGGAGGGTACTCCAATCAGGGGTGAAGTAATGTAGGGGGTGGGCAGGGGAAGACGCTAACTGTCTGTGTGGCACGGCAGGAGGGGAGGGGGGAGGCAGTATGGGAACGAGGACAGGGGAGGGGAGTATGCGGGAACTAGAGCTGGGGCTGCAAACACCCACCCGCACCACCGCTCCCATCACCCCTCCCCTCCCCTCTGCTCCCCCCCAGTCCGAGGAGTGTCGGCTGGTGACTCCGGCGGTGGTGATCGATGTGATGAACTCCGCGCTGCTCATGCTCAAGGACTGCACGGGTAGGCGGGCTGGAGGGGGGGGGCGGGGGCGTGTGTGTAAGGGGGGGTTGCCTCCAATTGACCTCACTGGGCGTTGCAGAGTCCGTACACATTGGGTATTTCTTCTCTCCTCTACATCTTGTCGTCATGTTTGTCATTCTCATTCAGCACACTGGGTATTCTTCTCCTCCCCCACCCCCAGGCGCCGACCGGCTCCGCAGCCAGCTGGGCGGCATGATGGCCTCCGAACACATCCTGGCCAACAACCTGTCAGCGGCCAGGAAGCTGCTGCTGCAGGTGGGGGCGGGCGGGTGGGGAGGGGGCGGGTGAGGAGGGGCCGGGTGGGGAGGGGGCCGGGGGGGAGGAAGAGAAGGAGGCGGACTAACCGGTATTGTGGGGTAGGAGGGGCTTGCACTGTTGGCCATCCCGCCTCCCTAGTGCCCTCTCCTCCACCCCCTCTTCCGGCTCATGCTCCACCCTACCGCATGCGCAGCACCACAACCCCTCCCTCCCCTCACATGGTCAGTTGGTTGCTTCCTCTTCCCTCGCTTCCCCCGTTCCCCCCTGCCTCCCTTCTCCCCCCCACCCCCCCACCCGCAGGTGTGCCACCAGTACCGGCGCGAGGGCTGGCTGCTGCCGCTGCTGCAGTCGCTGGTGGCGCTGCGGGAGGTGGCGCAGCGACTGAAGCTGCCCGCGGAACACCTCTGCTACAGCCTGGAGATAGCGGCGCTCGCTACACAGGTGCAGGCGCCGCCGCCGCAGCAGCAGCTGGTGCTGACCGACCCGCGGGTCGGTCCCGCGTCTGCGACCGCGTCTGCATCCAGCAGCAGCGGGACTGCCGCTGCCGCTTTAGGAGGAGGGGGGCGAGGGAGAGGGAGAGGCAGCAGCGGGTGCTTCATCAGCGCCGCCGCCGCCTCGCAAGCCGCCTGCGCTAGCAGGGTGGTGGATCCGGCAGCGGCGCTGGCTGCATGCAGATCTGCCGTACAGACGTTGGTAACTGGGATCTCGGAAATCAAGCAGGGGATCATGAAGACGCCGTCGGCGCACATGTCGGCAGGAACCGCAGCTGCGGCGGGAGGAGGAGGGTCCTCACCTGCGGGTTTGCGATCTCCTACCGGCGGTGAAGCAGCAGCAGCTGCGGCTGGGGGGATGGCTTCAACCTCCACCACCAGTATCAGTGGGGGGCTAAGTCCGGAGTCCAGTGCCACCCAGCTGCTGCCGCCGGCGCCCCCGGGGGCAGTGGGGGTGGGGGCGGGCGGCCTGCCTCGGCACTTCCACTACACGGTGGGTGGGTGAAGGAAGAAGAAGAAGAAGAAGAAAACACCGGCATCATTATGCTGCTGCTGCGAATATCGTGTAGTGGTGCGGCTTTTGGCCAATCGGTAATGCAGGTTGCCGTGGATGCAGCAGCCCAGCCGAAACCGCTTCAAACCCTTCCCTCCGGCCTCCCTCCTTCCTCCCTCCCTCTCCCTCTCTCCCTTCCCCCCCTCTCCCTCTCTTCCTCCCTCCCCGCCCCCAGGTGGAGCACCTGGACCTGCGTGAGGCCCAGCGGCGGGCCCGAGAGGCGGGCGACCCCCGCTCCGTGGCGGACATCATGCACCGCCACACGCAGCAGGACTACGGATGGTGCAGGTGGGGGGGGGACGGGGGCGGGGAGGGTATGGCGTATGTGGTGGGGAGGGCATGCAGGAGGGGAGGGCATGCGGGAAGGCATGGACAAAGCAGGGGGTACTGTATGGTGTAAAAAGAACGATGGGATGATGGTGGGCTAGGGCGGACACTGCGCTTCTAGCGCACCGCGCCGCCCCCAACCCCCGCCGTCCCTGCCTACCGGCTGCCCTACCCCCCTCCAGATGCATCGCGCTAGCTGCCGGCTTCACCTACTCCCGCCCCGACCCGCACACCGCCGACTTCTACCTGGCGCTCTACAACCAGCTGCCGCTGCCGCTGCCGATAAAGGGGGTGGTGCTGCACTTTGCAGACGACCAGGTACGGAGGGGGGAGGGGCAGGGGAGGGGCTGGATGAGGGCTAGGGGAAGGGGCTGCAAAGTGAGGCGAGTGGAGTAGTCCGGGGAACAGGCGCGTTGTCCTGAAGTCATGAAGTTCTGCTTACGGCCCTTTCCCAAGCGTGCGCTGCCCCACTGCATTGTGCAGTCCCATGTCGCCCTCGCCCCCGACCCCTCTCCTCCTCCTCCCGTCACCAGCCCTGCCATGGCCGCCTCACCCGCCGTACATCCCACCCCACCTTCCCTCCCCCTATTCCCATTGCTTTGCACTAACCTGTGGTTCTGGTATGCCTCTGCCCCCCTGGTGCTGCTTGCCGCCCCCTCCCCTGCTGCCCCCTCCCCTGCCGCCCCCTCCCCTGCCGCCCCCTCCCCTGCTGCCCCCCGCTCCCCCCGCTGCCCCCTCCCCCGCTGCCCCGCTGCCCCCGCAGGGTGACATGTGGGTGCAAGCGCTGCCCGGGGTCATACCGCCGCACGAGCCGCCCGCAGCGCCCCTGCCGCAGCACGTGGGTGCCGCGCTGGACTCCGCCACCCACTCCTTCCACCACCTGCACCTCAACTCGCTGCTGAGGCCGCATGACGCGCGACTGCAGCAGCAGCAACAACAAGGGGGTGCTGCGGGGGTGGCAGGTGGGTGCCGTTACTGGTGTGGAGCGACCTCCCTAGCGGGCCCCTTTGTCGTGTCTTGTTCGTGTTCCTGCCAACATGGTAGTGATTGTGTCGCATGTGGTCGCATGTCCCGTGCATCACCTCCTTACCCCGCATGGTGTGGTAACTGGTATACTGGTAGGCAAGTGGCGCCCCGAACGCGAGCTTCCTTACGCCGCAAGTATCACACGGCTCCACACCCCCGTCTCCTCGCGTCTCTTGTCACACGCTACCTGCCGCAGGCGCTGACGGCTGGGCGGCCCCCGCGGGCGGCAGCACCCGGAGGAGCGACACAGGGGGCGAGCGGGTGCCGGGTGGGTGCTGGGGGGCTGGGGGGCTGGGAGGCGGGTGCAGGGGCCTCGTGTGACCGCGTGCGTCCAGCGGTGCTCATGTCAGCCTTCCTAGGGCCTCCCAGGCCATCATGTTGGCCTCCCACCATGGCCCTCCCAGCATGGTCGCAACCGCACGGCGCCCCCTGGTGGAAGCCCCCTTCGCCTGCTGCCCCCGCCCCTCATCCCGCACAACCGGCACACACCGGGATGCGGGCCCCCCTGCCTGGCTCCTCCTCCTCCCCCTCACCCGTTACCCCCCTGCCCTCCCCCCCCCCGCATGCAGGCCAGCTCCGCCACACCGACGGCCCGCCCTCCTCCTCCTCCTCTGCCAGCGGCTCCACCCTCCTGCACCCACCTCCCCCCTCCACACCCGCACACGCCACCCCCACATACACCACCACGGGCGCCCCTCCCTCTCCTCCCTCCTCCTCCTCCGCCGCCGCCGCCTCCACCTCCACCTCCTCCCTCCCGCCGCCCCTCCCGCCCCACCGCTGGACGCACTTCTCCGCCCGCCTCAGCCCCCGCTGCCTGGGCCGCCTGCGAGCCGAGAGAGCCATACTGCTGCTGTCCGACCACGCCACCGTCGTCTTCAAGCTCGCCTCCTTCCCGCCCGCAACCGCCGCCTCGCCCCAACCCGGAGTGCTCACCGGCCCCCTGCTCGCGCCCCCCTCCTCCTCCTCCCCCTCCTCCTCTCTTGCTGCCACTGCGCCACCTCCTCCCTCCACTCCCAACGGCACCACCACCACCACCGCCACCCCTCTCAACCTCCTCAGCGCCGGAGCCTCTGTAGACCATGCCGCAACCCCCTTCCGAAGCATCCGCACCTCCTCCTCCTCCTCCTCCTTCCCCCCCGCCTCCTCCTCCTCCTCCCCTGCAGTTTCCCCCGGCCAGCTCTCCCTCTTCGTCGCGCACCTGGGCCCCCTGCCCTCCCTCTCCTACGGCATCCCCACCGGCCTAGCCCTGCTAGGCGAGCACGCACCCCTGCTAGCGCAGCTCGCCGTACCCCCCGGTGGTCGACCCCTCATCGGAGCCTCCATGGAGTTCGTGATCGGTCGTACGAGCGGGGGGTTGCAGGCGTCGGACATTGTGTTGGTGGTGGACGATGCGGCGGGCAGCGGCGGCCTCATGGCGCTGAACAACGAGCGCTACCGGATACCGCTGCCTCGTGTGGAGCCGGGCGGGACGCACACGGTGCGGCTGTGGGCGCGGTCGGCGGCGGCGGGGAGCGCCACGGTGGCGGCGGTGCTGCTGTGTCCGGCGCAGGTGACGGCGAGTGCGAGTGTGACGTTTGAGGAGCCGTTTGAGTTCAAGTGCAGGTGAGAGGTGGGGAGGAGAGGAGAGGTGGGATGAAGCGGTGACGCGAGGGCTTCAGCGGTTTCAGTTGTCAGGGTGGGCTTTTCCATGTGGGTATGGGGCTGTCTTACCCCCAGGCTGTCCGCCGGCCTTCCCTTCCACCTGCCTTCTGATGCCCCCCGTCTCCCCCTCCCCCTGCCCCGCCCCCTCCCCCCTGCCCCCCAGGATGTCCTCCGAGGTGGGGGTGCACACACTGAGCCTGCCGCGACTCTCCGCGCGGGACCTGGGCAGCACGGCGCTCACCATAGGTGCGCGGACGGGGGGGAGGGAGGGGGGGGAGAAGGATACCCAATGTGTTGAATGAGACTGCCAAACAGGACGACAGGGGGGAGCCCGTTCGACAGTTGTTCCGGTACGTGTGTCTGTCTTTCACGGGCAGCGGTGCAGGAACAGAGCTGCACGTGGCCGGGTGGTGTCTGTATTGGCTTGGAGCAAGGGGAGGTGTCCTTTGCCCCACTGCTGCTGCCCCCCTCCTGCCGCCCCCCCCCCCCTGCTGCTCTCCCTCAGGCCAGCCGGTGATGGTGACGGCGCTGATTCGGGCGCTGCAGCCGGCCACCCTGGAGCTAGCCAGCGCGCAGGTGGGGGCGGCGGGGGGGGGTTGAGAGGGGTGGGTGGGGGAGAGGGAGGGCGGCAGGGGTTGGGTACCGGTACTGGCACCGGGGCTGTGGCCAGGCAAGGGGGTAACGGGCAATGCGCTGCAAGTCCGCACCGAGCACTGTCACGCCTTGTACTGTCCTGGTGATCCGGCAGTGCAGCGTTAAAATGTACAACACGTTGTAGACCTCCCTCCCGCGTCCTCCCGCCCCCTCCCCCTCCCCACCGGTGCAGGTCGCCCTGGAGCCCTCCGCCGCCATCAAGCTGGTGTCCGACCCCAACCAGCAGCTCTCCGCGCACGGCCCCGCCACCCCCATGCGGCTGGCCCGCGGAGACGTCTTCACGCTGCTGCTGCCCATCTGCCCCACCGAGCTGCTGGAGCACGGACGCAGCATGGGGCGACTCAACCTGCGCTGGCGCCGACCCGCGGGTCACGTGCTGCTGCCGGGGAAACCCGGGCATGGCACGCAGCAGCAAGGGCAGCAGCAGCAGGGGCAGGCAGGGGCGGTGGTTGCAGCGGACAAGAGGACAGGTGATGAGGCGGCAGCAGCTGACCAGCAGCAAGCGGTGGACCCGCTGGCGGAGCCGTGTCCCGACCCATGGGTCACCACGGTGCTGGAGCTGCCGCGTGTGACGGTGACGGAGAGCCTGCTGACGGCGCGCACGCTGGGGCCGGCGCAGATCACTGCGGGCATGGCCTTCACCTACTCGCTGCAGGTATGGAGGGTAGCGAGGCGGGTAGCGCGCCAAAAACATGGACGGGAAGCTACCGCGCCTGTTCCCCCGCTAACCGCCTCCTTCCTATCCTCTCCCTTGCTACATCCATCCAATGACGATCCATCTCTCTCCCTGCGCCCGCCCCCAAACCACTCCCCTCCTTTCCCCTCCCCTTTCCTATATGCGTTACCCCTCTCATCCCCCACCCTCCTTTCCCCGCAGCTTCAGAACTTCAGCCCCACCCCGCTGGAGCTGATGATCACGCTGATGGACGCGCCCGGCTTCACCTGCGCCAACGAGCGCAGCCCCTCCCTCACCGTGCCCCCTCGGGAGCGGGCCGGCGTGTCGTGGCAGCTGGTGGCGGGGCTGCCGGGCCACCAGCTGCTGCCGGGGGTGCGGCTGCTGGCGCCGCGACACAACTGCGCGCTCACCACGCAGAGCCCGCATGTGTATGTGCAGCCGTTTTGAGGAGGCGGGGTGGGGGGGTTGCGGGGGGGATGAGACGGGGCTGGGGTGGGGATGGAGGCGAGGAAGGAGGGAGGAAAGGTAGGAGAGAGGTGTCGGGCGGTTTGCGGGGAGGTGTGGATGAGCGGTAGGCGTTGTGGAGGGGCTGTAAACGACCGGTGGCAGGGGGGAATGCGGAGGCGGCCTGTGCAGGGAGGCGGGGGGGGGGAGCTGGGGGTGAGGGCTGAGTTGGTGGAGCGCGGTAGGGGTCAAGAGGTGGAGAGGGAAACGGAGAGATGAGAGAGGCGCGAAGCAAGGGAGTGGGGCACCGTCATCCCGACATACCTCTAGCGTCCACACAAAAGGCGTGTCGGGGCTTGGTGAGTTGCCGGTGGCGCGTTGCCCCTGGTGCGGTCAAGGGGGGGGGAGAGGCGATGCGGCGCCCTGAGGGCTGGGTGCTGCTGCTGGCAGCCGTCGTCACGGCCCCTGCGCCGCCTGAAGCGTTGAAAGGCCTGGGCAACAACGAATGCGACGATGGCTCGTGATCGGGATTGTGGTCGTGTGGGGAGGGGACATGAGGTGTGCAAGGGGAAGCATGAGGAGCCCTGCGGGACTGGGCCCATGGGCAGGGTCGCATGGAACAGCGGGTTGCCGCAACCGGCTGCTTGGCGCCTGCTGTCGCCTCGTACACGAGGGGGGCGAGGTACAGGGCGGGCTGCTGCCGGTAGTGAAGCATTTGCTAATAACCTCAAGCCGGACTGGGACCTATTCCGCAGCTCAATACGTTACCCGTCGTGTCGGTACTCGAGCGCAACTGCCACTCTATTGGACTCTGTTGGCACGATAAGGGCTCAACAAAACAATGGTGGAGGCCGCACCTGTGGGGGCGCCATACTCAACAACCCAGATTGCCGCACATGTCGTACCGTCCTTTCGCAGCGCCACCTGGTTTCAAAGATACAAACCCTAAAGCCCAAACCGCACCCCACCCAGCGGGCTGCTCGCATGTGTTTTATGTCACCCTACAAGTGTCATTGGCTCATTGCTCACGAGGTCCCCCGCCCTAGCCGCAAACTGCGCTTGCAGGTTACAGCCCCCCAGCCAACCGCGTGAGTCTCTCCCCCAACCATCCCGCAACCAGCCACTTCCAGCACATCCCCTGGCGCTTTCTTCCTCTCTCCCCCCCCTTGCTGCATCACATGAGGTGCATGCGAAGGACCTCCCGAGTGGCCTTGCGCACGCGGCAACGAATGGTGTCGGCGCCCAGCCGCTGATGGGCCTAATGTGTGGGGGGAGGTTGTGGGGGAGGAGGGGAAGGGGAAGGGGGGGAGGGTGCAGGGTTGTCTTACATAACGAACAGCAGGCGCGGGTCCTGACGGTCCTGCACATCCACAGGGGTTGGTTGGCGACCCACATGGAGATGGCTGTCGACTGCCGCTGCAGGGCCTCTGCTTAACGCGACACCACACCTCGGCCTAGCTCAGCTCAGCCTGATGCGTGTGGGGTGTCGCTTTCCTCCCACCACACCCCGCCTCCCGATACACCTCGTTCCGCCCCTGCACACGCGCATACACAGAGGCGTACACGGCCAGATTTCATAAACACACACGCACACACGCACCTACTCGTACGTTCCTACTCGTGGCCAGTTTTCTTAACACACGCACCTCGAACCTGTGGCAGCCTGAGAAGCCGTAGTACACCCCCTCCACCTCCAACACGTCGATCTGAGGCGGGAGGCGAGGGGAGGGAGGGGGAGCGTGGGCGCGGGGCCTACACAGCGCTACGTGCTTCACAGCCTTCCATGCTGCCAATGCCAATGGGAAGTGGGGACCCCGTGGCCCACTCGCAGACACCCACATTTTCCCCCTCGCCCGCCTCACCCTCTAATCCTCGCCCTTCCCCCATCGGTGGGATATGGGATTGGGACTCGTTGTCACACATATCCTTTCTCCCCCCCGCTCCGCCCACCAACTCACGGGCTCCTGAAGTCCAATCTCCCGAATGCTTTCCATCAGGGCTGCAACCTTGTGCGGGTCTGGGAGGGGGAGGGGGGCAGGGAGGGGGAGGGGAGGGGGGATGCTGCAGATGGGTATGGGTGCAGCAGACAGCCGTACTGCGGACGCATGTGGGGCGTAGCGGCGCATGGCGCAGGCACTGCTGAGCTTGTCGACCTGCTGGGGTGGAGGTTCCGCTAGGAGGGGCCTGCCAGTTAGGTCTTTGTATCCATCATTCAATTATACAGTTGGGTTACAACCGCAGCTGGCCCTCACACCCACCATTGGCGCGGGTGCGACCCAGGGGTCGGCGAATGGCGGTTAGGGGCAGCTCCAGCACGAGGCGCCCCTCGTCCTTCTTCTGCTGGGTTGCTGATGCTGCTCGGGGGTGCGGTGGAGCGGCGGGGTGGGAGGGGTTGGGTAGGGTGGGGAAGGTTTTGAGGGGACGGGTTATGGTTGGGACGGGTAACGGGGGGGAGGGGCGACATGGGCTCACACACGTGCTTGTTCGGGGGGCTGCGGTAGCCGGGGCTGCATGGGCAGTGCAGCCGCAGCGGGGGTACCCAGCCTGGTGGCATGCGCTGCGGGCTGAGCAGGTGAGGGAAAGAGGGTGGGAGGGGTGAGTTGGAGGCCGCAGCATGTGATGGCTACTCAGCTCGCGGCAGCACCTCCGTACCCACCCTTGCTGTCATAGAAGGTCCAGCGATACTTGGCCTTTCCGGTTTCCTGTGCTGCTGCAGTGGAGGCAAACAGCAGTATAATTGTAGTATAGCTTCACGGCCAGGATGCCCATGGATGCTGCCTTCATAATTATATGTATGACCAACGATTGCCGCACTCCTTACCTTGCTCTTGAGGAGGTTGTTGTTCTGGAGTCGCCGCAAGGCAACGAATCTGTCGTGTTCCACCCGTTCCCTTGCAAGCAAACCATTGGCCAACAGGCGAAGCGAAGAAGGAAGGACGCGCGCGGATAACGGTTGGCTTGGACAACATGACTTTAGTTACTTTATATACTTTAAGCGTCACAGAAGAAGTAACTGAATTGCTTTACCGTTTTGTTGTGTTTGTTGGAACGAGGCAACAACAGGAACGAAGGCCCCATGACGTACCCGTCCTCGGCCAACTGACCTGCTGTCTTCAGTCAGGCACACATACTGCTCTGACGTTTGCTCTAACCAAGAGGAGCACATACAAACTTACTTAATCAAATTAGAACGCGCGCTTGTAAACGCCCAAAAATCAGTTCTCACGGTCCCAAGGGACGCTCTGTCGGGTAGGTTCCGAAAGGGAGCTTACAGCACCGCCTCGTTTCTCCGCCAGCAGGCAAAACAAACAAACAACATGCAGCTAGCCTCCTCGCCCGCTTCCCGCCTCACTAGCTCCCGGCCTTCGCGACTGCACAGCCCAGGTGAGCCGCTGAGCGCCGCTGTGCCTCCTGCTGCTGCTGCTGCTGTGATGCGAGGCGAGGCGAGGTGAGCGCGCAATCTGCCCCTCTCTCCCTCTCCCTCTCTATCTCTAGCTCAGCCACAACACAACATAACAAACACACGACCGCACACACGCATGCCTACGGTGCACACTCGCCTGCTGCTTGCCCCCTCCCGATCAGGGGCTGTCTGCCGCCCCCGCGGCCTGCCGAGGCCACCTCCCCTGACTCACCATCGACCCGCGCACACGCGGCCTTGCAAGGTGCGACAAGGGAGGGAGGGGGAGTGGGCTGTCGTACGATGCACCGTCAATGGATACGAATAATGCTGATGATAAGCGGTGACATTCTGTACTCCATAAGCCCTACGGGCACCAAGCTAGCAAGATAGCTACATGCAGTACTGCAGTACTGCAGTACTGTAGTACTGATGCACTGATGTACGGCACACCCAGCCGGCACGCAAACCCGTGTGTGTGGGTCAAACGTATGCCGCACCGGGGCTATCACCTACCTACCTACCTACCCGCTCACCCCCCTCTTCCCCCACCCGCCCTCCCCGCACCCGCACCCGCAGCCGGCTCGTTTCAAGGAGAACGACCCCACCTCCGCCGCTCCCACCCCGCCCACCCCACCCCTCCCACCCACCACCGGAGTGGCAGCCACGCCAATCACCCCCATCTTCCCTACACCTCCCACCACACCTCCCCCCACCCCTGCTCCTACCGCCGGCCCCACCCCCAGCCCCACCTATGCTGCTCCCCGCCCCACCGCCCCCTCCGGCAGCACCCTCCGGCCCTCCCCCGCCCACTCCCCCGGCCCCTTCAGCGGGGAGGACCTGCCCGCCACCGCCGCAGGTGGGCAGCAGCGGGCGAGCTGATGCTGCCCATGCAACCACCACCTGCCCTTCCGCCTAACACCCTAGGAAACCTCATGTCCCTAGGAGGCTCGCTCCATGTGCCGGATACCCTTCATCCCACCATCCTGCCAAACCCTACGCACACACCGCCGCCTGTCTTGCCCCCCACCCTTCTCCCGTACTCCCCCCCTTCCCCTGCCCCTCCCCCTCCCCCTCCCGCAGCCCTGCGTGCCGTCCATGTGGGCCCGGTGGCGGCCGCCTTGTACCCGGTGCTGCTGGCCGGGGGGGCGGCGGCGGCAGCGGGGGCGCTGCTGGCGCCGGGGGCAGTGGGTGAGTGGCGACCCTGGGTTGACCTGCCACCTCACCTCGCCTCTCCCTGCCTTGAGACACCTCTCTCTCGCTCTCTCTCTTCCCCTCCATTCCCACTGCCCCCCTCCCCCCCTTTCCCCCCACCCCAAGGCTCGCTGCTGTTCCCCGCCGCACCGCTCAGCCGCACCCACCTGCTGCTGCTGCGGGCCGCGGGGGCGGCGCTGCTGCCCACCCTGACTGCCAAGTACCACATAAGGGTGGGTGAGGGTGGGCGGCGGGGTGGGTGGGAGGAGAAGGGTAGGGCACCGGTAGCTAGAGCGTAACCCTGCAGCGCAGCTTAGCCGGGTACAGGTACCGGGGGTGCATGCATGCATGCAAGTTGCGTGTTGCATATGTCCATGCGTGCATGCGCGCATGTGGCACGAGTTTTGGTGCCGTATGCATCCCTCCGCTGCCGCCAGCCGCCCGCCCCACAGCCCTCCTCCTGCCCTACATACCTCCTGCTTCCTCCCTGCCTCCCTCTCCCCAAACCCCCCCCCCCCGAACCCTAACCCTACACCCCCCCCAGCGTGCCGCCTCCTCCGGCACGCTGGCCTCCCCCGCCATGAAGCCGCTGGTGTCGGGCTGCCTGCTGCACTCGGTGGGGGGCCTGGTGGTGCTGGCACAGGTGGGGGGGGGAGCGGGAGGGTGAAGACAATACAAGTCCTGTTACCGGTATGTTGGGGAGGGCCGGCAGGACAACGGCTGCGCTTGCATGTTGTGCTCTGCCTGCCCAGTCGCCCCGTCCCCCCCATCCGCCCATCTGCCACCCTTCCGCACCCATGCACCTCAGGCCGTGTCCCTGCGCAACCCGGTGCTGGCGGGCACCGTGGGGGCGCTGAGCGGGCTGTCCACCCTCACCACATCATACACACTCATGAAGGTGTGTGTACCCCGGGGGGGGGGGGGGGGCTGCCTGCCTGCTGCATGGATGGATGGATGCATGCATGGCCTTCCTTGCCGTACTGTCTTATGCCCCCAACCTGTCCCCCTCCCCTTCCCTCCAATCGTCCCCCCCTCAGTCAGTTAGTTGTTCCCTCTTCACCCCCCTCAGATCCGTGAGAGCGGCCAGCTGGTCCCCAGCATGCGCGGGCTGCTGGGCGGGCTGCTGGACCTGGTCAGCCCCGCTACCGCCCCCGCGGCGGCCTACTCGGTGGCGTGTGTGGCCATGATAGGTAGGGGGGTGGGGGGCTGGGGTTGGAGGGGGTGGAGGAGGAGGGAGGTGCCGGGTGGCCCAACCCGCTATACACACACGCCCGCCTGCGGACCCAGCCCCGCTACCACGCACCCCTACGACCAGGTGCCCCCCCGCCACACCATTGCAACACGAACCATCCCAACCCTTCTCCCTGCATTGCGGGGCCTTGCCTCCCTGCCCCCCTGCCCCGCACTCACAGCCGTTGCGATTCACCCCATCACAAACCCACATCACACTCCCGCCCCCCTCCCCCGCATTCCCCCCTCCCCCACAGCGGTGGGTCTGGCGCTCTTCACCTCCGACCCCACTGCGCCCTGCTTCTTCTTCTTCCAACAAAAGGTGCGTCGTACGACTACACAATTAATACGACATGTCAACCACGAAACACAAACCCCCCCCCACCCCACCTCATCCTTCACCCCACCCCACCCTACCCTACCCCCCCCCCGCCCCCCCCCGCCCCCAGGACGCCGTCTACGTCTTCCTCAACCGCATCACCGGAGCCGCCACGCTGGCCAACGCAGTGCTGCTGTACACCGTCAAGACGGCAGCGGACCAGGGCAGGCAGCGTGAGTGTGTGTGTGTGTGTGTGTGTGTGTGTGTGTTGGGAAGACTGGCCGCGAGTAGGAACGTGACTGGATTGTCGGAATAAAGCCACTACTGGCGCTCCCTCCTCTCCCCGCCCCAGGCTCCCCCACCTATCGGGACGTCTGCGGCGCTGTGGCCGGTTGGAGCGCCGCCACGCTGGGGATCATGGCGTACGGACTTGCGGTGGGTCGGGTGGGGGGTTTGGGGGTTGGATGGGCGGGGATGGATGCAGCAGTAGCAGCCTGGTAGTAGCTAATGGAAAAAGGGCGGCAGTACTAGATACCCTCAATTGCATGTCCCTAGACTCATGGACTAACCCTCCGGTTGTGCTGCCGCTGGCTGCTGCTGCGGCTGCTGCTTGCCTTCCTTCCTTCCTGCCCCGGCAGGCGGGTCTGGCCCGACCCGCGGGTCCGACCTGGGCCTACGTGGCCTTCCTGACAGCCACCGGACTGCTGACGGGCCACAACTGGCTGACGGCGCCCGAGTGAGGGGGGGCGAAGAGGGGCGAGGGGGGTTTGTGAAAGGGGCCGAGGCTGGGTGGGGAGAAAAGAGGAAACTGACGAGCTGGGTGGGAGGGGGTTGCACGGGACACATATTGGGGGGTTGCGGGAGGAGGAAGCAAGGGGGCGAGTGATGGGCCATGCGGGGGGCGAAGGGAGTGAGGCAAGCTTGGAAAAGTTTGGAAATGAGGGGAACGGGGAGCCGTTTAATGATGTGCTAGAAGACCAACACAACGGTTGTTTTGTTCGTAGTTGGGTTCACGGCACTATTGTATGGCTAACGGTCAATCAACTGCTGGTGCGGCCTTGGTCGCTTAGCTAACGCATTGGACCAGCTCGATGCAGCAACCCTTTATAAGAGGAACTTGTAAGCGAGTTGAATTGTCCGGTTTGTTACGTGGCTTTTGTCCTAGAAGGAGTTTCAGTCGGTTGCAAGACTCATGTTGCAGATACGATAGCCTTGTTGCGTACACAAGGTTTATGGGAAGAAGAGTTTTGTATGTGTAAAACGTGCAGAGAGTAAGTGTTATCGTATTTTTAGCGGGCCGATCGAGGCTAGCTGGCTAGGAGTACGGCTGTCGGCATCATAATCCTCGTTAGAGCCGAGCGACGAGCGACGACCGGCCCGTTTCTATTTTGAAAGCCCCGCTCGCAACGCCAGTTACCAAATGTTAGCACATCCTTCCTTCCTAAAAACCTGATTAGTTCCGTTTGCAAGGTTTTGCTGTCATCTAGCTGTGCTGCTTCCTCGCTCCGACTTTCTAACCAACCGCTTCCAGCGTCCGTCTCTCGGCACGTCCACAACAAACCCATTACCGAACCGCCCCACATTTACCGCTTTTTTACCACATTATGCCTGCTCATCAAGCATTCAAGCAATTGTAGCGCAGGCAGTTCGGCAGTTGTGGCATCCCTGTCATGCCTCCGCGCCTGTCACATCCCTCGCCACTGCAGCAACAGCACCAGCAACCGCCACGAATGCAGCAGCAGCAGCTACACCACCACCTCCACCCCCACCGCCCGCCACCCCTCCTACGCCCTCCCGCCCTCAAACTGCTGCTAGCAGTCTCCCTCATCGTCCTCACGTGCGTCAGTCGCCTCGCAC